GAAGATGTTCTGAACAACCATGACGAACCCCCTGTTGTCCAAGTTTCTTCCACAGTCTCTGAGTCTGAGGATTCCTTTGACGTGGCGGAACTGCGCTGGATGGAGCATCCCGGAAAGGGTAACTTCAACCTTGAGCATGAATACACACTCAACGAGAAGTACAAGAAGAAGGAGCACCACATGTACAGCAACCTGAACATTTTCTGCTTCCTGCGTACTTTTGAGATCCTCTACGCGCGTCTTCTGCGCATCAAAGAGCAGGAGGAGTCCGCCCGCGAACAAGTCCGACGCGGTGTTCTACCCAAAGCTGCTCATGAGTTGTGTTTGATCGACCGATTCCCTAGTGATTTCTTCTATGATGTCGATCCCAAAGCCAACCTTTACAAGCAGATTGTGCGTATGTGCGAGGAGGTCATCAAGGGTGATATTGATCAGGTTCACCTGGAAGAGACCCTGCGTCGCTTCTACATGCAGAGCGGATACCTGCTCTACAATCTGGAGCGTATCTTCTCTTCCATTTCTAAGTTCGTGGCGTCCATCTTCACTGGTGATTCTCGCGACCGCAGCTCCGACATTGTCAATCTCTTCTTCAAGGAACGCGAGAAGGAGGAGACTACCCACCACCAGGAGATTCAGTACCGCAAACAAGTTGAGCGACTGGTCAAGGATGGAGATATCTACCGCATTACTTTCGTGAGTTTTCCAGTTCTCAAAAATGCCTTGATAATGACTAACAAATCCTTCAGTACCCAACTGACCGCCGCGTCACCGTCCAAGTAATGACCAGCGAAGACGCAACCCTCAACAACGACGAACTCACCCCAGAAGAGCGCTGGTCCTACTATGTGACCGCCTACTCGATGCGCGACCCAACCGAAGGCGTCCAATTCTCCAAGATGCGCATGCCCCTACTGAAGCGTAACCTTCCTCCGAAGCTCGAAGAAGATGAAGAGTACGATCGCTACTACCGCAGCCTTCAGCACCACGACGGCCTGACCATCCGCATCTGCGCCAACAACTACACAATGTTGTACCAACCACCCACCCACGACTGGTTCTGGCGTTCCAACGCGCCCATCCCGGAGAAAGATGCCGACGCCGACACCATCAAGGCTCAAGTCGACGAGCTCGCTAAAGAGAAGGCCGCGCTACGCGAGAAGCGCCACGACCGCTTCGTCGAGAAGTTCGTCAACAACCCCTCCTGGGCCCGCGGTCTGAGCAAGGACCAGGTGGATGAGAGCAACCAGCGCTTCCGGTCTTGGGTTGACGGAACCCTCTCTGATAGTCCCGCTCCGGGCCGTGAGGGATCTGCGTCTCGTTCTGGCTCCGCGGCCCCCGCTAATGCGGAGGCGGAGAAGGATGATGGCGCGGATGTTGAGATGACCGATGCCGAGCCTACCGAGGCGTAGGGTGTTTGTGTTGGTGGTGTAACTTTTACGACGGGTCAGTCTCCCCCCCTACTTATGGGGGGGGTGACTGACATGCATTATTGTTGATTGTGGGAAGGGGGACGGCGTACGATGAGGAAATTGCGATGAATAGTTTTTCTTTTCTTTCTTTTCTTTTTGAACGATTTCCGTAGTTTTGTATTTGTATCTTCTTTTCTTTTCTTCAAGTATCTCTTACTTTATTCTCACAAATGAAATGGCCATGGGGAGATTGGTCTATTTATTCTAATTTAATTTGGTTTGTATGATTGGTTTCAGATACTCATAACTTCCTGTATATCTTCCATTCTACAATCCTGATGCGTACCCTAATGCGGCGATCCACTCGAACTCCTGGGGTAAGAAAGAAAATGAGATGCCTCCAGATCATCGGCTTCTCTTGCTGTATCGGTATAATCGGCATAATTGGCATCACTAGCGGCAAGATGCATCCAATTATCCAATTACCCAATTATCCAATCTGTGTTAGTATGAAAATCTCCGTGTGGCCGAGCTGCATAGCCGATACTGGCCCGAGAGTGGAGTCGGGAGAAACTCGGTGGGATCTACGGAGTACTCCGTATATTCTTTTTTTTTATGTTGTGTATTGTGATAGTTGTAATGATTATGAAATATAATTTTGATTCCGGTTATTATGAGGACTAAATCGAAACAAAAGAGACTGTTAATAATGGCGATACAAAGTATGCAAGCCCTGGAGGTAAGAAGAGAAAAGGGGAAACCCGATAGATCACCGAAGGCCGAGTGAATGCCGGGGAAACGCCATGGTTGACGTCATTATGAATTAATTTTTGCGATAAGCATCATCGAGGGGGGATTACTGGGGAATTAGATAGGGATGGGATAATATATATATGTGTGTGTGTATATGTGTATATAATATAGATTGGAATTGAATTAGAATGCAATTGAAGTTGAAATTGAAATAGAAATCAGAATAAGCTATAGAATATACTCTTATCCGATATACAATTTACAATTGTAAAGTCCATCCATCTACCAAATTCCAAAACTTCCATTCTCCCGGAGCTGTCGGCCTCGCATTCCTTTGTGGAGACCTCTGCCCGTGGGGTTGAAGAAATTACTTATACCCCCAGATCCCCTTTTTCCTTCTCCTCACATCAGACACTCTCCCCTCTCTTTTTTTTTCTTTTTCTGTATCATGTCTGCTTCGGCCCTATTGAAGAGCCGTGTGCGGCGCCCTTCGTATCTGAAGAAGCTCGCCAAACCCGAGGATCTCCTTCATCACTTCCCCAATGGCACGTACATCGGCTGGTCCGGGTTCACCGGTGTCGGTTACCCCAAGTATGTAACACAGACCATTGAATCTGAGAACAGAACGTTAACCTCAATCTAGGATGGTTCCCATTGCTCTTGCAGACCACGTCGAGAAGAACAACCTCCAGGGACAGCTGAGGTACAACCTATTTGTCGGTGCCTCCTCCGGTGCAGAGACCGAGAGCCGCTGGGCCCGCTTGAACATGATTGAGCGCCGCAGCCCTCACCAAGTCGGAAAGGAAATCGCCAAGGGAATCAACAACGGCCAGATCAAGTTCTTTGATAAGCATCTGAGCATGTTCCCCTCAGATTTGGTTTATGTAAGTCTTGACATCTCTAGAAGAAGAAAAGCCCAATCAACCCGCTAACCTCTTCGCTTCCATCAGGGCTGGTACACTCTAAACAAGCCCAAGCCCTCGATCGACGTGGCAGTCATCGAGGCTTCCGCCATCACCGAGAACGGAGGCATCATCCCCGGTGCCTCCGTCGGCGCTTCACCCGAACTGATTCAGATGGCCGACAAGATCATCATCGAAGTGAACACCTCCATGCCCTCCTTCGAAGGCCTGCACGACATCACCTGCTCAGACCTACCCCCGGGCCGCAAGCCCTATCTCGTCATGGCCCCGGAGGACCGCATCGGAACAAGCTACATCCCCATCGACCCGGAGAAGGTCGTCGCCATCGTGGAGTCCAACTACCCCGACCAAACCCTCCCCAACGCCCCAGAAGACGAAGGCTCCCAAGCCATCGCCTCGAACCTAATCGAGTTCCTCAAGCACGAGGTCAAGCATGGCCGCCTCCCACCCAACCTCCTCCCCATCCAATCCGGCATCGGCAACATCGCCAACGCCGTCGTCGGAGGCCTCAGCAAGGGCGGCGCAGACTTCAAGAACCTAAAAGTCTGGACCGAAGTCCTGCAAGACTCCTTCCTCGACCTCTTCGACAGCGGAAACCTCGACTTCGCAACCGCAACCTCCATCCGCTTCTCCCCAGACGGCTTCAAGCGCTTCTACGATAACTGGGAGCGCTACGCAGGCAAGCTCCTCCTTCGCTCGCAACAAGTCTCCAACTCCCCCGAGATCATCCGTCGTCTCGGCTGTATCGGCATGAACACGCCCGTCGAAGTCGACATCTACGCACACGCCAACAGTACCTGCGTGATGGGATCGCGGATGTTGAACGGACTGGGTGGATCCGCCGATTTCCTGCGTAACTCCAAGTACAGTATCATGCACACTCCATCCGCACGTCCTTCCAAGACCGATCCTACCGGTGTGAGCTGTATCGTTCCGTTCGCGACACACATCGATCAGACCGAGCATGATCTTGACGTTGTCGTTACCGAGCAGGGTCTTGCTGATGTTCGTGGGTTGTCGCCGAGGGAGCGGGCGCGGGTTATTATTAAGAATTGCTCGCACCCTGACTACACGCCTATTCTCACTGATTACCTTGACCGTGCGGAATTCGAGTGTCTGCGCAAGGGCATGGGTCATGAGCCGCATATGCTTTTCCAGGCCTTTAACATGCACAAGAATCTGCAGGAGAAGGGTACTATGAAGATTGACTCTTGGGAGTAGATTTGAGGGATGTGTGTGGTTGTGAATACCTTGGGTATTCTAAAACTTGAATGCACGCTAGGTTAGGGCGTTTGGTATGTCTATTAGCGGTTCATGTGTGTATAGTACTCGGAATACAACCTTTTTCTCTGGATTGTTTTGGTTGTGGATTAGCTGGCTCGTAGTTAGGGTGGTGCGTGGACGTCTAGGTAGACAAGCTATGCAGCTATGTCCGGGGTAATAAGCACAAGGCAGTATCACATGACGTGGATTGAACTATGTATTGATCTAGCGAAGGCATAATGTCCAATTTTCATTAGGGTTGCTTAGTACTCGCCTACACCGTAGACCAGAGTGGCATCAATTACGTCGAGAATTATCTTCGGGTCTAGTGATCTTATTTGCATTCCAATGGTTCATAGGATTGATTAAACGTATATCCAAATCAAACGATATGTGCAAATAGAACACGTCCAAACAAATAGATCGTATAGAAACCAGATCTTGCCATGCCAGACAGAACTCCTATATCAAGAAAGATATGGTATAATGACAATAACAAACAAGCAATGCTGAAATACAAAAGCAAAAAACACCAACGAAAAGAAAACGTGTAATCATATCAATCTCAATCCCCTTTTAGTCTCCATGTCGTATAGACACAAGGAAAGACAGAGTCTGAGAATCGAACCCGACCATAACCCATTTGAAAAGATCAAAGTCCAGTAAGTCTATATCAAAGTCAGCACTAATCCCCTAATCCAAAGCATGAGCATCGTGGATATAACATACCGACTCCAGAGCGACCCAAGAATACCAGGCTCTGCAGTCTCAGACTTGCGTTTAGCCCAGCCGTGATCGACGTTGTAGTGCTTTACATCTTGTAACCCGGCGAAGAGGCCTCGTCCGGCTGTTGCGCGCTTTGGGGATGTTAGTTAATGGATACTAATGGTGTATAGTGGCAGTGGTATACGTACACGATGCTGTTGAGCAGAATTCCGAACCCAGTAGTCTGCGCCGTAGTCATTTTGCAGACGGGCGTGCTCGCTATCGGTGGTTTTAGATTGGGTGGGCATTTCGTGTGGTTGTTTGGTTGTGTGGTTGGATGGTTGGATGGTTGGATGGTTGTGTACTTGTGTACTTGGGTTGTGGAGATGTATCTTGAAAGTATCAACCAAAGTAGGTATCGAAGAATGTCGTTGTGTGATGAACAAAACAAGCCCCCCGGTGTAACATCCCAGCCTTATATACATACATCACTTCCCATATCACAGCGAGATACAAAGCCGCATAGCAAGTATGGCCTGACAGCATCGAACCAAATCATGTTTGTTCCGAGAGGCTGGGTCTCGGGACGTCGCTATTAGCCGTTTCTAGGGCTTAGTCCGGATAGCATGATCTAATCTATACCTCGGATTGATTTTATCCGGATTGGATTCTTAGATATTGCTGAACGTGATTGGGATGGTGACGCTGGATGTGGTGCGATCGCGGGTTTTTCCGTTTCCGTTTCTGGGGTTAGTATAGGTGGAGAATGACTTTGGTCTTACCGATTATTATTCGACGTCAGATGATTGGGGGATTGAAGGATCGGTAGGCGATGGTAGGTGATGATACTTGCGGTGTATGGTGGCATGATCGGGTGGCACGGTGATGGTCAGATTCACGGCAAAAAAGATAGGAAACAATAGGAAAATGTCTACGTTGGATTTGATTTAATAAGGTGCAAAATAACTTGATAACTTGGAGCTATTGTGTTATTATAATTTGATTTTGTGAGATAGTCTTTATTAGACATCTTAAAAGCACTTGTTGTACTATCCAGGGTTCAACTTCGAAACTTGTATGGATACATTTTGAGCACCTCACCCCAAATTTCCAAGATATACAATCCTATGGCAACAAAAAGGTTCCCTTTCCTCTGTCATCGCCGCTGATTATTCCACTGTGCATTCATGCCCCCTCGGGGCTTGTCAGAACGAGACGACATTCAATCTACAGCACACAAACAAGGACATCCACCCCACGCAGAACGCTGCACATAACTATGGTTGAAGATATTTTAGGAGGTTAATCCATGAATCCGTCAGTTTATACAGTTCTACAAAGTTATCCCTAGATCTAACCACTTCTACTTTTTATGCGACGTTTCTCCATCCCTGCCTCCCCCTTGCACCCCGACGTCCATATTCTCATGCGAGATTGTTCCGTACACATTGAAAAGTCGACATAAATGTCAAGGACGAGGTAGGTAATTTGTAATCTAGTGGCGAGTGACACTCATCTAAGAATAAGAATGCAGATCCGAGAAACGCCGATCGTTATCCAGCCGTCGGGCTTGCAGTTGAAATGCGGCTTCATGTTTCGTATTCTCCATCGAGACACCAAAATCACCAAAAGGCATACCAGATATAGCTGAACGAGTCTGAAGATATCTCAGTCTTAATTGCCTCTCTCGTTCGTTCTAGGCCAAGGATATTGGGCCGGAGTTCATGACTTGTTTGTGTCGGACCTTGATGAGTTGTGATATATATATATATATAGTGAAGCCGGTCGGTGATCCCAATACGTTCAGCTACTTCTAAATTGGAGTAAAAAGAGACCAAAGAATCGAAAATGTCTTAACTATACATATGTATATTACTTGATCCAACCCACTAGGTTTGAAGTGTACCTTTTGTATGGGTATGCCATACAAGAGATACCACCTAATTTCAAAATTCATTGTCCAAAGTGAATTGGCAAAATATAAAGAGCCTGCAGTACTTTAAGATATGAGGGATAATAGTTTGTAATTCAATGTCTATTAGTTGACTAGTCAAAGCCGAAAAGCAAGCCATATTAGAAATAAAGGAAATGCGAGGAAGCACCTAAAGATCGAGGCATCCATTCCACCGAGTGACATTCTCCATGTGGCCAGTGTGATACAGATCTCTCCCAAATATCTGAGATGTGGAATGCCATCCATGGAACATAAATTAGCCCTAAATTTGACATATCAAAAAGAAACTTGAGTCATATGCAGGGAAAATCGGTCTGCAGAAATTTCCCCCGCACCACACCGTTGAGCCTTGGACCCTGGAAACCTTTTTATTGGAAAAACAAAAGAAAACAAAAACGAAACCCCCCAATAACAAGGCTGATAGAAAATCGCCACCATAATCTTTGCACGAATCGAATTGGTTTTCCAGATCCCAAATCCACAAGGCCACACACCCCTGGAAGCCCCTGAATAACCTCAAAGAGGGTATTGCCAAGCCTCGACCTAAGTGCCAACCAAGCCTAGATCCGCTATTATCCTTGGCCTTCTGATCCATTGGAATTCGCAGATTGGCCAAGAGTATTTCGGCGGTCTGGATCGTTGAGTTGTCTTGATTTGGGCAGTTTCTTTGTGTCGTACGAAGTACCAAGTAATGATGGGTGTTATTCATTTACACACGAATCCCAATCAAGAACGTGGCAAGTCTGGACCTCAAATACACAATTACATCAAATTCTACCTAAATACTTTCAACCTTGTCAATAATCCAACCAACCTGTGGGGTAATTATCTGAAACAGACCAGACTAGCGAGCGAAAAACAACTGGTGTAAAACGGGCACGACACATCTAACTTAGGAGCCAGACGCTAGCTAACGTAGTCCGATAAAAATAATACATAGCGGTAATCTCCGTAAGACATAATCCTCGGCTGTGCCCCAGTATCCGTGATCTACCCCATGGACGTGATTTGATCGCCAGTCAATGGGATCCAGACTCCCATCCTCACTGTGATCAACGATCTGTATATGAAATAGTAGAGAATCTGTTCATTGTACACTTGCTGTTTCCATTGCCTGTGCACCATATATAAACCTGCAAATAAAGCACTATCAGTGTGGGTGTCGGTTATATCGGATACTTAGGCTACAGTGTTATTTTTATCTTGCTCTGGCAACGACCACACTAAATAAATGCCTATGCCCCGAGTAGAAGGTGGTTCGTAGTCCACGCGGTCCTTCCCATTCGGCGCGATTAATTAATTGAACAGTTCAAGCTTCGTGCCCCGTTTATTAACTGTTTTTGACTTTGATTAGGCCGGGTGATCGGCCAGTTCATGAGTGTATATGTGGCTGGCTGGATGGAGATCGTCAGGAGAGGTAGAAAACAGCGCATAGTTAACAACAAAGGGTATGTGTTGTTTCCATATGGAGGAGAGTGGAGTATATTGAGATGAGAACAATTTGGTTTTGGGCGAAAACATGGGGATTAAAGAGACTTGTTGTGATGGGATATGGACTCGGTGGTAACCTGAGACATTCGTATTAAGGAATAATAAACAGAATTTCTCAATACTGCGTACTTGTATGTCGTAGGTAATCCATAAAATTGAATGATACCCGTATTGTTATTTTATAATATAGATCGGCAGGGCGGAAATTAGAGGCTGCACCTCAACCAATCAGGATATGGGCTATACCCAAACTAAGCTGCCACCTTGCCATTTTGGGACTGACCAAGGACGCTATGACAGAACGCCCCACATAGTGCGGGAAGAGAATTTCCCGTTGTCTTTGGTTTTTGACTTTGGGCTCTTGACCGGGGAATCTCTATGTCTGACTTTGCAATGAGACATTGGCCTGAAGTCATTCTACACTCCACACATTCTCTAAATCTTTGCTTTAGAGGCATTTTTTCGAGCTGGGTAACCGGGAACCGAGGGTTGAACGGGGGCAGGCTTGCCACCGAGTCAGCCACAGAGGGGCGGTAGTGGTACCTTACATGCTCTGACAGGATATATGAAACCTTGGCCTCGTTTTCGTACAATGTGGCTTTTCAATCGGTTAGGAGTTGGAAAACCGGAAGCTGGATGACCCTCACAGCGGTAAGGGAGGACTATTCTAGGTGTGAGACAGGATCACTATTTTCGACGCTGAGAGGAATAGGAGAGAAGGCAGTCGACGATCCGTGCGGGCAGTGTACATGGTATTGATAATAATAGTACGGAGTATCCCAATACGGGATATAGAGTACAGAGTATTGATTCCTATTGTATGGAGTAGGTGAAATGACCGTTGGGCGAGAATATAATTTTGTGTCTGTATCTGCGCATTATTATGATCTGACTCTTAGTCACTGTACCTGCGTGCGCCTGATATATGAAATCTGACTTGAATTTGCAAATGGACTTTGTACTGTATAGAACAAATGTATACAAAATACACCATCCACTCTCCACTCTTGCCCGAGCCGTGTGGGCCAACCACAGGCAGCCAAAACTCGGGTGTCGAATAAACAGCCAATCAGATTGATTATGTCCCTGAAAACACATCTAGACTCGTCCAGGGGTAATCTTAGGGTAAATTAAAATTCATAGGAAATTCACGATCGGTGGACCTGTATCTATGCCGACCACACTGGGCCCTTTTTTAGGTCTTTTTTCTCCTTTTTCTCTTTCCCCCCCCCCTAACTCCCCCCGTAACGATTTCTCCAACAAAAGGCCTTGCGTGCCCTCGATCGCTCTCTTTTTACCTTCTCAACCCACGTTCCTTCGATTCTATACCACCGCTTCACTCGTTCAGCGGGCATTCATTCTTTTGCGTGGATATTATCTTTCCATAATGAAGGGATCTATTTTCGCCGCCGCCGCCTTGGTCGGCTCTGCCATGGCCGACGGTGTTCACCGTCGCCATGACGCTTTCCACCAGCGTCGTGAGGCCTCCGCCAGCGTCTGGTCCTCCTCCGTCCCTGCCGCCGAGGAGACCTGCGGCTGCACGACCAAGGTCATCACTTACTACGGCTCCGCTACTCTGGTCCCCGTTGAGACCATTGCTCCTCCCCCTTCTACTTCTACCTCCACCTCCACCCCTACCCCCACCCCCGAGTCCACCAGCACTCTCACCAGCACTGTGCACTCTACCAGCACCAGCACCCTGACCGTGACTGTCTCGGGCTCTTCCTCGGCCCCCTCCTCCTCGGCCCCGGTTGCCACTAGCACCGCCGTTGCTAGCACTCCCGCCGTTGAGCTGCCCACTCCCGGTGTCAGCACCTTCTCCACCACCGGTGTCTACACCATCCCGGCCACCACTATCACCGTCCACGACACCACCACTGTCTGCGGTGCCACCTCCACCGAGGTCCCCAGCGGTACCCACACTTACGGTGGTGTTACTACCATCGTCGAGACTGCCACCACCGTCGTCTGCCCTTACGCCACTGTCAAGCCCTCCGGCAGCACCGTGACCAGCGTCATTGAGACCACCACCTATGTCTGCCCCTCCGCTGGTACCTACACCGTTGTTCCTCCTACCACCACCACAGTGCCCACCAGCACTGTTCTGGTCTACCCTACCCCCCAGACCATTGTCCCCGGTACCTACACCCAGGATGAGAACACCGTCACTGTGACCCGCACCGACTACACCTACATCTGCCCTGTTGCCACTAGCAGCCTGGCCTCGACCTCCGCCGCTGCTGTCCCCACCACCGTTGCTGCCACTACCACCACTGCCGCTCCCGTCGTCACCAGCACCAGCTCCGCCTCTAGCTCCGCCTCCAGCGTTGCCTCCAGCTCCTCATCCACCACCTCCGCCGCCAGCTCCACCGGTGTCCCCACCGTCCTCGGTGAGGGCCAGTACGGTATGACTTACTCTCCCTACACCTCTGGCGGTCAGTGCAAGACCAAGCAGGAGGTTCTCTCCGACCTCAAGATTATCAAGGGCAAGGGCTTCAACCTGGTCCGTGTCTACTCTACCGACTGCAGCGGTCTCGAGTTCATCGGTGACGCCTGCAAGGAGCTCAGCCTCAGCATCATCATGGGTGTCTACATCGATGGCTCTGGTATCTCCGCCGCCCAGGAGCAGGTCACTGAGATCGCCAAGTGGGCCGAGTGGGACATGGTTAAGCTGATCGTTGTCGGTAACGAGGCCATCCAGTCTGGCTACGTCGATGCCGCTTCCCTGGCCTCCTTCATCAAGTCCGCTTCCTCCAGCTTCAAGGCCGCCGGCTACACCGGTGTCATCACCACCACTGAGCCCATCAACGTCTGGCAGCAGTACGGCTCTGCCACCCTTTGCAGCGCCGTCGACATCGTCGGTGCCAACATCCACCCCTTCTTCAACGCCGATGTTACCGCCGAGAAGGCTGGTGAGTTCACCAAGGGTGAGTTCGAGGAGCTCGAGAAGATCTGTGGTGGAAAGGACGTCATCAACCTCGAGACTGGCTGGCCCAACGCCGGTAACGCTAACGGTGCTGCCATCCCCGGTACCGCTCAGCAGGCTACTGCCATCAAGTCCATCGCCAAGGCCGTTGGCTCCAAGTCCATCTTCTTCTCCTACTCCGATGACACCTGGAAGAACCCCGGTGAGTTCAACGTTGAGCAGCACTGGGGTTGCTCTTCAGTCTTCTGAGCGTGACGACTCTCCCATGGATTTTTGAATTTTTTGTTTAGTTCTGCAAATGCAAAACTTGTACAGGAGGACTAGGAGTTTTACCTTTCTCTGGCTTGGTGGTGTGTCTACGGACTCCGATCGGCCCTTTCTTCCCTTCTTGGATTCTATTTTAAATTTGACTCCTGTGGTAGATACATCTTTTATTTCACGTTGTCTACTGACCTTGCACCTTTTCGATCTCCTTATTCCTGTTTTTAGTTTGTACATTGCTCATTTATGCCTTCTTACGAGATTTGATTCTGGTAGTCTTTCATTTGTAATATAGTATGTACTACGTCTTTGCCGTGCCAGCTCTGTACTCTTCTTCCTACATCATTTCGCCTTTTTTGGGTTCTCATACGGTCAGTTGTCAAAGACTGACATCATGCAACCTGCGCCCGAGATATTGGGGCGGTGCATACGACCCCCAACACCGAGGCTCAACATGAGACATGAGATCAAACTAGCGTCTTCAGTTTTTCAATGCTCAGGATAAGACTTTGCACCTCCCAACAAAGACAAAAATTGCATTAATGAACAAATACCGCTTCTTTCCTGTCAGGAACCAAAACCAGAACAAGACCCAGAACCCAACCCAAATCGAATCTGAATTCAAGCCACATCAACTCCCTTAATCTCCTACAATGGCATACCCATTCCCATTCGAATGCGAACCCTTCTATATGCGCCCCTTCCTAATAGTCAAGTCTATTACGGGGGTATTCTTCACAATATTGATCAACTTCGTCGTCCCAATAGCCGTGGCATTGGCCATAATATTCGTCATCGGCTTGGTACTTTTCGCTATACTTGGCATAGTGTTTGGACGGGGTCCGAATTCCGAGGAGATTAAAGCGAAGAGGGAGAAAGAGAAGAAGGAACGCGAACAAAAAGATCGTGAGGGAGAACAGAAAGAGCGAGATCACAAGGAGAATCAATACCAGGGAAAGCCAGATGCAGAACTATTTACCGCTCCTCTTTCCGCAACTGCGAGTGGTCCCGGTGGTACCTATGACCTGGAGAAGCGTCTTGAGATTGAGCTTGAACTTCTTGGGGAGATGGCTGTGGCTAGGAGGGAGAGGTTGGCGGCTTTGAGGATGGCGCATTCCGGGGACGAGGCTGAGTATTTGGAGGTTTTGGAGAAGCTTGAATAGACTACCTAGGATGTGGTACCTACATACCTACCTAGCTATGTACCTTCCAAGTTCGTTAGGTAGTGGAAAGTTATACTTCCGAAATAGGAAAGGTAACCATCTGACTTTCCCTGGACCAGGGTTCATTCTAACCTTGAATGGATTACAAATTTCAGGACACTGACATGACTTTTTATCATCCATCTTCTCTTCTCCATCCCAACCTCAGCTGTTACCAAGGTACTTTTGTCACTTGTATCTCCAATCCAATGTTCAGGGCACTGGCCTGACTTGTTGCTACGACTACTATCCATCTTCTCTGCTCCCAAGACACCAGCTACTACCAACATACTCATATCATTTGTATCTCGAACCGAGTCAACTAAATCTGACCCAAACCAACCAAATCCCACTTCAAACCCTCTCTTCTGATCATCCATATACCCCCGACATGGAGCAATTTGCGGATGAATTATTCGGAGACGGGTTCAACGAATATCCCCTCCTTCTCCGCCCGTTAGTTGGAACTATAAGTCTCGTCATAGCGGGTTTCAAGCTATTCTTCTACCTTTTGTTGCATATGGCCCTCGCTTTTGTCATCCTAGTCATCGTTGCTGCGGTGATAGGTGTGATCGCACTACTTGTGACGAGCAAACTGCCAGGTTTCGGCGACCATGGGCCACGAAAGAAAAGTGACACCTATAACAGGGCCCGCAGCGGTGTTGAACATCGTCTGGAGGCCGGTGAGATCAAATTTTGAGATCGATGTCTTTCATCATTTGTCGCCGGAGGATAACTATATGGGTACGAGATGATGAGCCGAGAGCGTGTTCCTTTGGCTCCTTTTATATTGGAAGAGTTTCGTCCATGGAATGTTGGTTTAGGGAGTGTGTGGGATATTCCATTTGCAGAGACCGTGTGTTATTGGGCTGCCTTCTCGAGTGATCCGCCATCTTTCAAGGTCAAGCTGAGCTACGTGATACGAGGAATGTTATAACAGTGGGTACGCTTTGTGATAGCTGCATCTGACTAAAGCTGTTGATCGCTGTTTTATATTTTTAGGTAGACTAGGAAGCCTACAAAAAGGATTGAGAATTTGTGATATTCCAGAATTATATACCATTAACAGAATAGATAAATACAAGTGAAGCAATGAGCGCAGGGCCAGGGCAATGGTTCCCCTGTTCATGTTGCATCATCATGCCAACTCAATGGTTGATCGGGTAGGCCCATCCCTCCTTTTATCATATTGTAACTCCAAACGGAAATCATCTTATAGTGCCGTGCAAGTCTGTCATCCTCATTAGCATATTGGATCAAACAAATGACTCCTGGTAGATACCGCGTCGGGGTCGCTAAGTACTTACACCATCGAATCCGCAAGTAAGTCCCTCACAACAGCATCCTTCGCCAGCGCAGTTAGCAGCCGTGCAGGGCATGGTGTCCTAGTAAGCTCGTTAGAAATCGTCGCCCCACATTCTCTAACATCGTGGCCATCGAGCAGACTCACAGATTGGCATGCGATTTCGACCTTAGGGTATGCTTCGGGGAGAGCGACGGTGAGAGTGGCGAGGAAGCCGAGAATAATGACGGAGGCGCGCATTTTGAATTGATAGATGTTGGGAACAAAAAAAAGTTCAAAAATGGGGTATCTAGAATTAAGACAAGGACTAAATCAGCGACCGAGTCAGGTATAATGATAGCAGATACGGTGAAAACGCCGCAATATGCGGGTTGAGACTGGATGCAAGGGCAAGGAAATGGTGTACAACAAAAACCTACATTGAGAAAAAGCAACAGTGAAACGGAAAAAGTGAGATTGGATAACGGGGTATCTTAATATCGAAACCAGAAAAGCAAAGACGAACGCATATCAGGCTCCATCAAAGTCTTATAGCATGCAGGCGTGGAGCACTACAGTGACACGCCACGCACCAGCACGAAGATCTATTATTGCCTCACCTAAAGCAGGGCCATTGGGGGATCTACAGGGGCAGCTGTGGGGTCGATCGGCACTGATTGGATGATGGCTGGGGCCGCCTTGTCGTTCTCGCCGGCCGATGCCCTACAGCGGGGATTGTTTGCGTCAATGGATGCAACATCAGGATACATAGGATGTTGCTTGATCCTGTTTGATGAAGATTTAATTTGGGAGGGGGCTGTTTTGTCTCCTGTTATATATGTTGTAGTATTTCTCTAGCGGGAGATGGTGTGTAAAACACAAAATCAACAAGGCTGCCCACTGACTTCAGTCCTTCTGCGATTGTGCAACTTGGACCACGCCAGTGATCTATAGCTGACGCTGTGCTCATGGTGCGAAGGACACAAGCATCGTGCGCCCTAGATGTGACTTGAATGGGGCTGTTAGCAACGCCACTGACGATGTCACCAGCCGCTTGGCATTAATTATTGTAAGGGATACATGGTGGTGCACCAGCTGAAGACTGTGTTATTATAGGCTTGGCGGTGACACACGGAGCTTGCGTGGGCTCCCTAGATGGGAAGGGATATACTGCGTGGTGGGTCGTGGTAGCTAGGGGGCTGGGGCCATGACACTGGATTGGTGTACTCCGTACTGCGCTGGGGATTTCGTGAGATAACATTTTAGGGAGATGAACACAAATTGGAATGGGCGAAACAGCATGAGCAGCAGGCAATTGATAATTGATATGGTGAACGTGATACATCACCTGGGCATGGAAATTAGACACCTTGGGGCTCAGGAATTATCGAGATATGTGATCGGAACATTATGGCTCCGATCTGAACATCAAATAGAAAATATACACCGCTCTACCAGATAGGACAAATGCATACTCTTTCTCAAAGACTACATATACGCGCCAAGCTACAATCTCTTTGACTAAGTGTAAGAATAGTGTTGTAGTATTGGTTGACTATCACAAAGCCAACCAGCACGACATTCTTACCTATAACCGGTGTCCGTGGACTAACTTCCTACAGCCAGATTGTCTTGCAGAATAGCATTACTCTAAAAGTGTTTGGCTACTATGCTAATATTGGACATTTGTATCACAGCCAAGCTAAACTACCAGTATATCATGGCATCTATAAGGAGAGTCTCTCTGTGCAGACCATCATTCCACTCTGAGTTCTTATCAGTCTCTTCATCACAATTCAATATTTTGCTAAAAAGAATATTTTCGGCTGACCAATTTACTAAAGGTAGTTACAATCTTAGTTTATTCAGGAAGTCTCTCCCTCGGATCCTGATGGTGCCACGACCCAGTTCCCCTAAAGCCGGATCTAACAACATCCATACGAGTCGGCTTCAAACCCGAAGCCAGGGTGGCTGCATACAAGACAATAACCAGACTAGGGAACGGCTTCCATGAAGACGTTTTAACTGTTAAGCCGCCATCATCGACCCGGAAGACACCCATCTGTGCTACCGCATGAAAGCAGCAAAGCATTAGTTACCAACCATGGCTGGACACACAATTCGTGATTGATCCTATAGACGAGTTTATTTGTGAACCTCCGCCCCTACGAGAAACAGGCAGCCCTCGGAATTTTCTGTTTGAATGTTAAACACTTTTCTGCGAGCTATCTGACGGAGTAGCATTGGCCCGACCAGCATAGCGGCTCGGGAGGCGGGTACTAGTGGGAACGAGACTCGGTGGGTCCGGATCTGGCTTATGATTGGTTCCTGGCCTGCATATGCTCCATGGCCACAAAGCTTGGCAGAGCCTGGAAATAATGGCATCGTCTTTTATACAAAATTACAACTTCAGAAGAACCCACGAAAACGCCCTTTAAGGGGAATTCGGTCAAATTCCAGTCCAAATGTCCCCGAGGTCATCCAAAATCTGATTTCAAATCATCCTGAAAATTCGCTAATCATTATTAATGACCTGTATCAATTTCCCATTCTCTTTTCAACGCCATTGCCGCTGGATGCTTAAATCTAGGGATTCCCCAGACTTATTTTGACCCCAACTTCGGGGTTCCGGTACCTTTTTCGTTTTGCTTCAAGTTATTGCATCTACCAAAAGAAGTCGTGGTTATCCCGTGAGCAACGACCTCTTCTTTTCATCTGTTTCCTCATAATCTCCTCATTTGCTCTATTTTCCCGTGTCCTGCATCAAGGAAAAATAAAAGTAAGGAAAGCTTGAACCATGCCTACCACGGAAAAGATTAGCAATCGCTTTCGGATACCTCTATACCAGCTAGTGCTATCCCAAGACATCATCACCGACGACGTCCTCAACCATGAATGGGAGGGAAATGGCACGGCAGAAGATCCTTACTTGGTCGACTGGCTCCACGAAGACGCTCGTGATCCCCATCAAATGCAAGATTGGCTAAAATGGTCCATCACACTTCTACAAGCCGCTTCATTTCTGTCCATTACTTTCGCTTCGTCTGCTCTTTCCGCAGCCAATCCCCAGATCCAAGACCGCTTCGGTACCAGCAGTGAGCTAATTGTTGCCGACACCTCACTTTTTGTTCTCGCCTTTGCCATCGGACCAGCTATCTGGGCTCCTCTTTCTGAGCTCTGGGGTCGTCAGATCATCTACTTCATAACGTATGGGTTGACTACACTATTTGCCGGAGCAACAATTGCAAGTCCGAATATTGCTACATTGCTAGTACTACGATTCCTCGCAGGCGCATTTGGTTCTTCGGCAATTTCAAATGCTGGAGGTGTGGTTTCAGACATGTATACAGCCCGCGATAGAGGGCTGGCTACAATCGCTTTTATCGGAGCTCCCTTCTTAGGTCCTAGTCTCGGACCAATCACTTGCGACTTTTTGGCAGTGTCCAAAGGCTGGGAGTGGGTTCAAGGTCTTACAACAATCTTCAATGGGGTGGTGTTCCTGGTTGGAATTGCCTTTATCCCCGAGACTTACACCCCAGTCTTGTTGCAGAAGCGCGCTGTCAAGCTCAGTAAATTGACTGGAGCAGTCTACAAGAGTCGTCTAGACGTTGGAAATGTAAATCGAACTGCTGGTCAGATCTTCACCAAGACCATGGTCCGACCCTGGATCTTGCTGTTTATGGAGCCGATTGTGCTGCTTTTGTCTATCTACATGGCTATCAGTAAGTTCTCTCAATTACTCATTTTGTTGTCATCAAATGCTAACAACATTATTACCAGTCTACGGAACGATGTACATGGAATTTGCTGCCTTCCCGATTGTCTTTGAAGAAAACCTCAAATGGCCCCAGAGTACCTCTGGCCTGTCCTTCCTTGGAATGATGATCGGGCAGATTCTCGGATGCGCATATTCAATCCTCGACGACGGCCGATATAAGAAAGTCGCCGATCGCACAGCCTACGGTCGCCCACCTCCCGAAGCTCGGCTCATTCCGGCCATGGTCGGAGCAGTCACCCTTCCCGTCGGACTATTTTGGTTCGCCTGGACCAACTTCCCACACATCCACTGGATCGTCTGCGAGATTGGGACGGTACTTTTCGGTTTCTCTCACGTGTCCATCTTCTTGAGTGTAGTGAACTACCTGGTCGATGGGTATACTATTTACGCCGCATCGGCGTTAGCGGGTAATGCTGTAATCCGGGCCCTTTTCGGCGCGGCATTGTATGTCTTCATTCTTTCTATTCACAATAAGAGTCCCCGCAGTGAACTAATATAATACCTATGTAGCCCGCTCTTCACAACGCCAATGTACCAGAATCTTGGGATTCACTGGGCCTCCTCAATCTCGGCTTTCCTCGCTGTGGCTTGTCTGCCATTCCCATGGATTTTCTACAAATATGGGCCAACAATTCGCCGCCACTGTCAATACGCTTCGGAGTCTGCCCGGCAGCTGGATGAAATGACCGACCGGATGCGTGCACAGGCTGAGCAGAAAATAGTCCAGCAGAAGCTCGAGGGTCGGACAGACTCTGGCCCAGGCTCGACTGCTCCTCCTGGTGAAAAGGTATTCTAAACTCCACCAAGCTAGATTAATTCGCTGCTTACGACAGTGCTCAAAGCTACCAGTAAGGATATCTTAGCCGCCATGGTCATTTGATCGGTATTTGTCTGAGTTAAGTGGGGGCTGCAGTAATAAAGATGAAAACAAATTGAAGGTTGGATTGAGAGTTGGAATCGGTGGAGTGTTGAGGAACGGAAAAGAAGTTTGAGTAATGAGAAGGTTTAAATAGGGTACAAGTGGGAGAAAATTGAGGTTATACTGGGAATGTAAGATGTTTGTGAATTGCCTTGGTATTAATGTCTGTCCTAAGATGTTACATAGATAAGGCATACAAGTGGTTAAGTTTGTGTCCTTATTAGTGACTTTGAGCCTATTCACGAGCAGCGAAGATGTCACTATAACAGCTCGATGGATGGGATCCACCTATCATTTACTGGTCCCCGTCCTTAAAATTGGAATCGGATCTAGCTCAAGGAATTCAACAATGTGATGGGGTGGATTGTCCATGATGGAGGGAGTTCTAGATTGGAGGCTAGGTGACCTTCTCGTTCAAGATTTGAATTGTCCAAGTGTCCTCGGTATTCATCGGGGCTCGGTTTTGGCTGGATCGTAGTCGAATGCCAACTTGTGCTTCTGGAAGAACCTTGCTGGAACAATGTGCAATTTACGGTTGACTTGTCTATCGAATTTGGCCCTTGCTTCAAAAAGTCCTCAGTCTTATCTCGGGAGGTAGATCCGAATTTTGGTATAAAAGCTCCTAGATCTCGGAAGCATCAGCTCTGACCGCGCTGGTAATAGTACCTAACTTGTTCTAAGAAATCTTGGACTTCAGAATGTAGGTTGTGATTTTGACTGTAGGAAGCCCTGGACTTGATGCAACAAGTTCTGGTTCTGCATGATCTCGAATCCTGAAAAGCCGTGTTACACGATCCTCGCATATGTTCCAAATAAAATGATCAGAGAGGTGGCACAGCGCAGCGTTGGAGCGAGTTCATACTTTGCCCAAGTGATCATGGATTTTCTTTTTGTAATCCATATGTACTCTCTGAAACTCGAACCGGTCATAAAGTAGTAGTCGGCACAGACTAGTGGGAGAGGCAGGCCTAATGTCTGTGAATCTGTTTGAGTTGAAATTTCTTTGAAATCACATGTACCAGCCCCAAAGGATCTGGTAGCCACGCTAAAAGCTTAATTCTACTACACGTCACTGTCGCTCAGTTCACTTCTTAAGTGATTCAAACATCAAATCATATTAATCACATCGATTGAATTAACCACGTCATAAAGTAGACTTGTACTTTTCTATTAGGGACCTTCTACTTCACACTATAGGCACTGATAGCGCCCTTCCGAGGTTGTTCTCATATTCTCTTGACAAAGCATTGGCGTACTTTCCACCTAGAGGGAGAGGATGATTGTGACAAACGGCGATCAAAGTGCATTTCCACTACGCCAGCTGGCCAAAAAAGGCACAAAAACAAGCTCGAACCCTAAAAAAGTTCTTCCGTTCTCTGTTTCAAGAGGCAGACACCGGTGTTTTCTCATTTCGCAACGCGTGCTCCTCTCGTTGCCTGCTTTCCGCCGCAAGCTTTTTGGCACCCTGACCCCATATCCCATAAATGAAGAAAAAGAACCCTAAAGCTGACATCATGCTCTGGCGGTAATACCGACATGAATCTGCACCACAGTATTGACGACAAACCAAAGTAAATAAATAGAAAGATGCGAAAATACAGAGCGTGAACCTCCAGGGTGCGGGTTAGCAGCTAGCACCCAAGGGCTAGAAAAGGGGGTGCATACAAGATTGGATGTCTGTAGAACCCAAGGGGTTCCAATATGCGCCCCAGAGGGTGGTCTGATTTAGGCTTTTGTTGAGCTAATCCGGGAGAGGGACCGGAAGAGGTTTTTGCTTCCATGATGAAACCCGGACAATTGTGAGCGTAAGGAAGAATTGAGAGTAACGGAGTAGAAAGGGCAGAGTCGGTGAAATTTAGGTGTTGTAGCAAACGTTTTTCTTTTCCCACTAGTGACATGGGTCCCCCAATTTCTTAGCATGTTACTCCGTGTTGGTAGTCCTAGACAGGCGGTATGGTGGATTATTCACAAAGAGCACAAAGAGCACCCACCTAACAAAATGGATATTACGAAGATTACAAGATTGAATCCTGGTTCATCCGTCTTTAATGCAGATTAAGTTTGCTTATTAGTTGAAAGAAACGGGAGGTCGATTTCAAAAGTTTGCGCCCGTGTTTTTTATTTGCTTTTTGGGATGAAAAGAACTAGCGCGTAACAGTGCTGCATGTATATTACCTCCTTTGGAACCCCCTTTTTGATATGCTTCTTTTTCTATATGCCCCTTATACTACTACCTCTTACCACCTACCACCATGGGCCACGATATTGCTAAGCGCGCCATGATAGTAACTTGCAAAGCTACTGGTCTTAGCACTACTACTATTTCAGAGTTATCTGGCTTTTCGACGCGCACTGTCAACCGCGTATATGAAAGAGCCCTTGAAAATGGCTTTGACCCAGACTCGCGTCCTTGGAATATTTCTGAGGCGATGCTAGCTGATGCCCCTCGGTCTGGGAGGCCGACAAAGCAGACGCTAGATGTGCAAACTCGGGTGCTTTCGAAAGTACAAACTGACGAGAACGGCCACGGAAAAACCTGCGCTGATATTGCGGGGGAAATGAGCCTCGAAGGACATGACATTTCTTCGAATACTGTCTGGCGGATCCTGAAAAAAGCTGAATCACAAAAAAAGACACCTACCGATAGCCTGGTTTAACAAAAGCTAAATCTATGCACAATGCTAGGCTATCCTGTTGTCTTGAATGCCAAAATTGGACTTTGGAAGATTGGACAAATGTTATTTGGACTGAGGAGACTTCTGTTATTTTACTTCATCGACGCGGAGAATACCCGAATCAGTCTATGCAAGATACAGTCACTGTTGGAGTTTAAGTCCTTGGTTATATATAGAAAAGTCCTCTTTACTGTCTATGCATTTTACCACTTTCACATATACCTAAAATAACGTTTGAAAAGTCATCCGAGAAGAACATATCAAAACACATGGTAGTGTTCCTATATCACATCCCTAATATCGTTTCGGGGCCAAATAAATCGGCCCGGGGGATTATTAAAGTCTTCCGTTATCAAGGGCGAAAGCCGCATGAGCGGCCGGCTATTCTTCTTCAATGAGAAGAGCAGTTCGGGTGGATATATGTGGGGTACATATGTCACAATGAAATCCCCCGAGGCACAACGTTGGGGTTGCTGGCGGACCTGCCTATTCCGGAAACGAGCCGCCCGTTACTGATTAGGAAATTTTCTCAACTTGCGCTCGATGGCAAGCCAGATGATATTCATGAGCAAAACTTTTGTAGTCCGGTTAGGTACATGCTATAAAAGCTCCTTGGTCTACTTTTCTGTCTCGTGTTGTTATCTATTTGTTTTTTCTCGTTCTTGGGTTATTGAATTTAACAGCACAGCCATGTCTATTGCAGTGCGGGATAGTCCGCACACTACAATCTATGAAGGTCAAACCTGCCAACATGAAAATCAGACTTCGTCGACGTCTGAGTTGTCTTGCCAAATCACCGACGAAAAATGGAACTACCCGCGATCCAACATAGCAAAGACACTGGCAACGTTCTGGAGCTTCCTAATAATGGGAGCAAATGACTCCGCATACGGTGTAAGATTCCACCTAGATATATATCCATGCCAGTTCGAAACTTATTTTAATCCAATACAACGATCCAGCCACTCATCCCATACGTACATCAACCCCTAAGCCTCAAATCCCCCTCCCCTTCTAACACAATCCTAGCTCGAATCCTACTACAACCTCTCCTACACAATCGTCTCACTCGTCTTCCTCTCTCCACTACTCGGTTATGCCACCGCCGCAATCGTGAACGAACGAGCACACTGTGCCATAGGCCGACGAGGCGTAGCCTTCGTCTCATCGTTGTGCCATCTGATAGCCTACATCCTGAACTGTGTGCATCCACCATACCCGGTCCTCGTTGTATCATTCATATTCGCAGGTCTGGGAAATGGCCTCGCGGACTCGGCATGGAATGCCTGGATTGGAAACCTCGATAATGCAAATCAATTACTCGGTCTGCTTCATGGATCTTATGGTGCAGGTGCTGTTATCAGCCCTCTCATTGCGTCTCTACTTGTTGCAGATGCCGGGTTGCCGTGGTATTATTTTTATTACATTATGGTACGTGACATTTTGTCTATTTGTTGTTTCGATATGTGCCTGGCTTATGCTGGCTGATATTCCTAGATTGGAGGCGCTGCAATCGAGATTCTCGTCTGCGTCGCATGTTTCTGGGATTCTACAGGAGCGTCATTCCGACTCGCTAAGAAACAACAACCCGGTGATGCCTCCGAGAAAGCAGGCTTGCGCAAGGTCCTGTCCACAATGCCCTTTGCTCGAATTACTTGGATCTGCTCAATCTTCTTACTTGGATATGTTGGCGTCGAAGTAGCGCTAGGAGGATGGGTCGTGACATTTATGAAAAAAGTGCGGCATGCCGCACCGTTCGCTAGCAGCATGACGTCTACTGGATTCTGGCTCGGTATAACCCTTGGACGGGTTGTCCTTGGATTTGTGACTCCTTTGATTGGTGAGAAGATTGCCATCTCGGTGGGTTCTTCCAGTATATCTTTTGCATTCAAGTTATACCACAAGCTCACCCTTACGTAGATCTATATCTCGCTCGAGATCGCATTTTGTCTCATCTTGTATCTGGTTCCGAACTTCTATGCGGGCGCAGTCGCGGTATCCCTGCAAGGGTGCTTTCTAGGTCCATTATTCCCAGCGGTTGTGATTGTTACCACAAAACTCTTACCAAAGCACTTGCATGTCAGCGCTATTGGGTTTGCAGCAGCCTTTGGTGGTGGTGGTGCGGCTGTGCTTCCGTTTATTGTCGGTGTACTTGCGCAGGCTAAGGGTGTTAAGGTTTTGATGCCATTTATCATAGCGCTTTCGGGGGCAATGTTGCTTCTTTGGAATTGTCTTCCAAGAATCCCGAGAGATAGAAGTGCATCGGCTAACAATAAACGTGAGGCTTGCTAGGTGTGACATGGCGTATCACATGCCAAGAACTGCAAGCGCAAGAGGTCGAGGACGGTTGAGTTAGGTGTGATGTAAACACTTCTAGTAAATAATTCAACTTCGGTCAGATAACGGAACTCGAAATAGCACATTCACCAAATATATAGAGCCTACAGACCACCAGAACAGTTGGGGGTATGGTAGTAGAGTATAGGCATATAAATGCTGGCGAAGGTTATTGCAGAGTCTATCATCATTCAAACCTCATTGGGGGTGACCCTTTTCACCTCCTCGTCGACCAACTCCGCCTCATCTCATCAGAAGACATCCATGTCCAGCCACTCTGCCCAGAAGACTTATTCGTCCGAAGCACGCCATGTCTCACAGAAATCTTGACGCCAGGCTTAGTGTTGTGGATACACCTTCGCGATGTATAAACACAACTCCACATGGTGTATTTTGCGTCACGATCTAGGACATCAATCGAAACAATTGCCATTTGGTGTGCCGAGGGTGGAGATAGATATGAGATATTCTAGCACTAACAATCTTAGGGTTCGTGCCAGAGAGTCAGAAAGACAGTTCTCGGCCCACGGACTCCACTAATTGTCGTGCTACGGTCACAGACCCCTCCTGAGAGCTAGTGATCAACATTGCCGATCGCAATTCTGCATCTCAATGTCTTGTAGTTTGTTCATCTTAGGTGGGAGATACCCGGGATCAAAGGGATGTGAATGTGGCGATGAACGGTCTTTGTATAACCCACGTTGTTAGAGAGCAATTCGACATCGTTCCTGGCGTAGGCAATATTTAAGAGGGCTGAGCTGAGCTGATAAAAAAACGGGGCGTCTTCATCTCTTCACATATGGGGTCCACGATGAGATCATGCCCCGCATCGTGGTTTCGTGTTTTCAAGATCAACGTACAGCCCACCATGGAGCTACGTATTTAACCTAAACCATTGCCGCCGCCCGTGACAGTTAGCGTCCGTGAAAAAAAATCCAACCCTGTGAATATATCAGTACAAATCACCATGGGTAAAGCCACAACCCTCGACATCGAGTATGCCAGTCTCATGGCCCGAAACCCGGAAGGAACCTTCCTATACATCCCACCGACCTTCAAGAAGTTCCACCCAGGCTCGGTCGGCTTCTTCGACGAGAATGGCGGCTGGAACCAGATCACCGATCTCTGCAAGGAAGGACAATCCAAGACAGACGGCTTCACGGCGCTTGGCCGCACACTAAGCCGCGACGAGCCCACGGCATCGATGTGGAAGACCCGGTCCTCGGAGAGCGAAGATGGGAACCATGTCCGACTCTCGGGGGGATTGTCAGCTGCGGCTGCGGCTGCCGTTCCGATCGATGTTAACGGCGACGGCAAGCACAAAAACAGCGCTTCAGGGAAAGCGGGTCTTGTGACAAGCAGTCTGGTTAAGCGAGAGAAGATTCTGGCTCCGTTCGGCAAACCAGTTGGGAAGTGGGCGTCGGAGAATGCCAAGGCACTTCTTGCGTCGGACTTTTCGACGGATATTGAGAAGAATGGGCTGTGGATTATTCAGTCTGCTTGGGTTACTGATGAGTGTGCTATTCATATGACCAATAGCAAGGATAGGGCGATTGATGTTGGTTTGGATATCGCGGCTACTGGTGTTGGGAAGGTTGGTGGTGGAGGTGGGACTTTTGAGAAGTTGGGAAATGAGGGTTGGACGACATATCAAGCTCAAGAGGTCAGGATTGTTTTTGGATGAGACTGTGTTTTAATCGCTAATGCTCTGACCAGGGGGACGAGGGTCTGGTCGTCTCATTCAGCGGATCACACTATAAGCCGCGTATGTTCCAGAGATTCCGAAGCGACGTGAGTTTTATCCCTGTAGCCATTGAGCTAATCGTCACATTGTCAATTTCCAGCTAACCATGTTAGCCTCTCAAACAATCCACGGCCGACAGCTACCTGCGCGGTGGCGGTGAGCTCGTCGATGAATTAGATTTTGAAGTTGAGAGGATTGGTGTGAGCAACAGTGATATCGAGGAAGAAGAAGAAGCTGAGAAGGAAGAGAAGATACAAGCGGAATTAGAGGCGAAGAGTGCGATCCTGAAGAACACTGTGACTCATGAAGTTGAGTCGCTTTAACGTAATAGACTGAATTTATGTCCAGTATAGGATATTGGCAGTCAAATTTCCAGAGCCAAGATGTCCCCTTCGAATTGAGGTTATACAGCATATTCAATCCACCCTCCTCCCCTTATTCGCCCCTTGTCGACTCCGCTTAAAAGGCTAAAAAAACACAGAAATATATTAAATTTAGATTAATATGCAGACTGAGACTGCCAAGGGAGGATTTGATTGCCTGGAAATAAATGACAAAGAAAGGGGGCTCCCACCGCAAAGGGAACCAGATTTGCACTTTGGAGCTATCCCTCAACTCGGCCAATCTCTGACAACCCATGGCATTCGAAAAATACAGACACTTGACTAAAAGTCAGACATTGTCTCGGAGCTGAGCCGGCGGTTAGCGCTGTTAAGTCCAGGTCCACTTCTCCGCATCTCCCCGGGATCTCCTGGAAGGATATCCGGGGTGACGGGATGCCGGAAAAGAGGGGGGCAGATTGATCTCTACAATTTCATGGAGTCAGACAGCATGATCTTTAGCTTCGCAGCTACTTAACAACATTCTCGCCTGCTTTGATGGAAAGGCCACCCCATCATGGAAGACAAGCCCACAGCAGGGGCTGTCCTAGGACTCATTTCGGTATAAACCCTCTCCATGCTATCAAATACCCAATCTAAAGCCAATTAACAACCAAATCCTAGTCCAAACCATGGTGGAAAAAAACCCATCTAGTCCACCTAAACATCCTAATAGGAAGCCTAATCCTCTTCTCCAGCACCTTCGGCTACGACATCTCCCTAATGAACGGCCTCCAATCCCTACCACAATGGCAAACCTTCATGGATAACCCAGAAGGAATAAAACTCGGCTTCATAAACGCCCTCCAAAACATAGGCAGCATAGTCTTCCTCCCCATCCAAGCGTGGTCCGCCAACCGCTTCGGCCGCAAACCCACAATCCTAGTCGGATACATCTTCATCATCCTCGGCGCGGGGCTCCAAGCTGCCGCCCAAAACCCCAATACATTCATCTACTCCCGCCTTCTGATCGGTATCGCTAGCGCCTGGTTTCAGTGCGCTGTCGTCCTCGTCACGGAAATAGCGTACCCGTCGCATCGCTCACTCGTCACTGCCATCTACATGTGCCAGTACTACGCCGGGTCCTTGCTGTCAGCGTGGGTTTCTTTCGGGATGAGGAATGTGCAGAGTAGCTGGGCGTGGCGTTTGCCTGTGCTTATGCAGATTGTGTTCCCGATTCTTGCCTTACCTGGCACCTTGTTTGTGCCCGAATCCCCACGCTGGCTGCTTAGTTGCGGGCGGGTCGGGGAGGCGAGGAGTATGTTGGTTAGGTTCCATGCTGGTGGGGATGCGGATTCGCAGTTGGTGGCTTTTGAGATTGAGGAGATTAGCAAGGGTCTGGCGGCAGAGCGGAAGGCTCGACCAGAGGCGCGCTGGATCGATTGTGTTAGGACTCCAGGGAATCGGTATCGGCTTTTCCTGAGTGTTTCATTGGGTATTTTTGCTCAGTGGAATGGAGGGTAAGTGTCGCATTTGGGCTTTACTATTGTTCAGGTGAAATCAAAATGGATGGAGAGATCCGTTGCTGACTGCGTATCTGCGCTAGTGGTGTGGTGTCATACTACCTAACTCTCATCCTCGATACAATCGGTATAACCTCGACAACAGACCAGACCCTCATAAACGGCTTCCTCCAACTCTGGAACCTGATAATGAGTGTGGTAGGCGCGTGTCTTGTCGACCGCGCTGGCCGTCGGATGCTCTTCATCACATCGACTGTGATAATGCTGTTCAGCTATATCTTCATCACTGCGTTATCAGGCAGCTTCACGACAACGGGTACCAGTGCTGTCGGAACAGCTGTAATCCCCTTCTTGTTCATCTACTATGCGGGCTACGATATCGCTTTCACGCCGCTGCTTCTGGCGTACCCGGCTGAGATATGGACGACCTCGCTGCGTGCTAAGGGTGTTGCTATTGCCGTGATCTCAAATTATATAGCGCTGGTATTTAACCAGCTTATTAACCCGATTGCGTTTGAAAGGATTTCTTGGAAATATTATTTTGTGTTTTTGGTCGTGCTGATTGTTGTTTTGGTTGTTGTTTGGAAGGCTTATCCTGAGACCAGGGGGAGGTCACTTGAAGATATTGCTTCTATTTTTGATGGGGAGGAGGCGCATGTTACTGGCGGTGATACTAAGGTGACAGCAGAGTCCGAGCATAATGGGATAATTGAACATCGATCATGAATTCTTGACGTGACACGTAGGAAAATTAAAGAGACATCGAGTAATGAGACCGTGAGAATACATCAATCGTAGAATAGAGATAGTAATTACTACCTCCGTCGTATTAAGGAGGTAACGGTAGAGTCTGCAATCTTTGTTGAAGCAACTCACTTCGGATTATACTTGTCTTTCCAGATCCTATATTATCCATTAGATGCAAAATCCAAATCCTCGGTCAGTTGAACATACCATGAATTCCCAAGAGTAGGACACCCATTCTCCTCGGCAAGTCTGTAATACTTGGCCGCTTTGAACTATAATCACATCGAGTCAGATTAGGGACAGAATATAGACCTAAGCAGAGGTAACACGTACCTTGTCCTTCTTACCCCCGAATCCCTCTAGGTAACACCAGCCCGCTTCATTCATGGCATCAGTGTCACCCAAGTTCGCGGCAGTCTCGTAATACTGTCTAGCAGCAGGGGGATCCTTTGCTATACCCCACCCATTGCGGAAGCAATTGGCCAACTCGAACATGGCCAAAACGAGTTCGCCTTTGGCGACTCCCCCTTTCTTGACCCCAGCACGGAGGGCCTCCGCTTCAACCGCGGCGGAATTGGATGCTGCGGCGGAGAGATAGGTCACGGCGCGTGCGGTATCTACAGGACAACCCCAGCCGTGTCTAGACATTAATTAGTATCTAGAAAATTGAGAAAGAGCTAGACGTGCTATTACCGTAGTGCGAGGCCAAAAAGAACCTGACTCAAGGGATTATTTGCGCCATTTGGATCAGCAAGTTGTCCGAACATGTGAGTTGATCGCTCGAGTTCTATAACCCATGTCAATTAACATATATCTCCAGTTGAATATAGAGAAGCAGAACTCACCACCAGCTTCATGCAGTCGAATCGCCTCTTGAATATTAATCTATAATCCGTTAGTCCCACATTCCAACCATAAACGCAACCATCACGCAAATATATAAACAGTAACCACCTACATCTTCCTTTGGATCCACACTGACCCGACTCTGACTCGAGCTCCTTGACCTAGCCTGTTCCAGCCCCAGTCCCAAACCTAGCGACGCTTCTCCCTCACCCTGGCGCCCCGGCAACGACGAGCCAGAATGCGCAAACTGTGGATTCTGCTGTACTAGCACAGTGGCTCTCTTCTCCCACAATGCTTCCCGCTCCTGCTTACTCGCGCCGTGATCATCATCAATCTGCGGCAGGTCCGCGGGGATGTTAGCGGAGGAGTCACGCGAGTTACTGCGACTGCGATGGTCGAGATGTAGGAGGTTTGAGAGACGGCGCTCGCGACGGGGCGGGGATTGCGACGAGGCAGAGGAGAGCCTGGGGGAGCGGTTGAAGAGTTGGAAGCTCCGGCGGGGAGACGTGGGCTCTTCTTGAGTTGGTGATGATAGGTATGGGGTTGGGTCGTTTGGGTTGGATGGTGGGATTATTATCTCCTGGGTGTGTGTGTCTGTGCGGATGAGCTTGAACTCAGGTGCTGGGGGTATTGCTGGTACATTTTGGGGTGTTTGGGTGGTGCTGAGGTCGTCGCGTTTGTTGAGGATGTTGCGTAGTGAGGGCATGATGCTCATCTACTTAGCGGAGGGTGGCGGGAGTGGATCTGGGCCTTTTTCTCTGTGTGATAGTCGGGTGTAAGGTTAGGCGTGAGGGAGGATTGTCGAGAATACATGTAGGGCTGAGGATGAATATTAAAAATAACCACAATCATACACAGTGGCTGTGTAGGCGGCAAGTCCACGTCTACGGGGCTGATGACTGGGGTCCGGGGTCTTGGCCAACGGCTGATATCCCGTGTGCACACAAAGAATATATTAAATGCTGGAAATACTGGGAATACTGGCAATTCTGGAATATCCCAGGGACAACATGTATACAATAACATAGAATTTTCCCAGACAGATCAAATCTTATAGATCTATGGATATCTTATCGCATTCTCCACGGTCCCGGGGGTGGCGTGCTGCATTAGACCGTGCATGTCATAGGGCGCCTTGGGTGGACTCAGCCTTTGCCCTGAATATGCCCAGCGTTTACTTCAAAGTACATACTACATAGCTCTAGGGGGGTACCAGTCACATACATTCAAAGGGCACTCTTGAAGATCTTTTTGTATCATATTCTGTTGAAAGTGTTCTACGATGAAATTGGCCCGGACAGATTCATATGCCAGGCATCAACCGGTGGGCATTCCTAAACCCAATTCGTTTGAGAACATGTCTTGAAACCTTGTGTGTCCGATTATAGAGTAAGAATCAAAATGGTATTGCAAGGTCTAACTCGGCAGATGCAAATAGCCCTTATAGTTTTGTACACAATGCCGAATGCAGTGAGCTACTAAGCCCGTTTACAGGGCCTTGGACGCCATGATGCCTGGGAATCGTTAGCACTATCCTATGTAAAGGTCAGTTGGTAGATAACTCACGCTCAACATCAGCAACGCTCTGCTGGAGGATCTGCTGGAGAACCTTGGGGCTCTCAAGCTCCTTCTGGATCTTGGCAATGACGGACTCGGCAAGCTCACGCTGCTGGCGCTGCTTGACCTGGTTCTCGTAACGCACCCACGAGTCGAGGACCTGCTTGGCCTCGGTAGCGAGGGCAGTGCGCTGCTGGAGCTCGTAGGCCTGGGCCTCGAGCTGAGCGGTTTCCTGCAAACGGACTGTCAACAACCGACCCAAGTATCAAGGTACGCGACCGAGTATTCCTACCTTGGAAACAGCGAAGAGCTGCTTGGTAACCTCAACAACGCCAGACATCTGGGAGACGTTGTCGATACGCTGCTGGACAGCGTTGGTGTGGTCGGCACGGGCAGCGTTCAGGATGTCCTTGTGCTTCTGGACCTGGCCCTCGGCCCACTCGCGGTAGGCGGGACCACCGTACTTGCCAACAGCGGTGAAGACAGACAGCAGACAGAAAGCAGCGACGGTCTCCTCGTTCATGACGTACAGCTCGTTGCTGATGGCGGCGATGGACAGACCGGCGGCGGCAGACAGGGTAGCGGTCTTGGTGACCAGGGAGTTGCCGGGGATGGCGTTCAGGATCGACTGCGCCTTCTTGGAGGGCTCCTCGGCGGGAACGTTGGAGGCCTGACGAGAGGAGGTCAGGTTGGCAGTGACAGCAGGGACACCACGGGCGGGAATGGCCGGCCGAAGTCGGGATGCGCCTAGGGTGAGTTAGTAACTGAAGGCATCGAGTCGATCAGACGGTCGAGGTTCGTAAAAAGCGTACCAATGGCGCTCTTAGCAAGACGCGAAGCCATTGTTGCAGATGGAAGAATCTTGGTCAATGGGGTGGGTGAACGGAATTGAGGAGACTTGAGGTTCGGGATGGCTAGGAGGTGAAGACGCTAGCCGTTTCGGGCGGTCGTTCCGTTCCTCGGAAAAACCAGCATCCGAGATGGTCCAAACGATAAAAAAAAGTTGCAGATAACCTCGTTCACGGTACAAGACAAGACGCTAGCCCAAAATGCCTGCACCTGTTACGGATTCGAGCTCTAAGAAGCGCAAGAGCGGCAAGAATGCCAGCGGTCCATCCTCCAAGCGCCGCGCTGTCGCCGGGGACGATTTCGCCGAGAAACTGTCTACTATTCAAGAGCTAGAGAATCAAATTGCGGAGTCGCGGAAGGGCTACAACAATATTGCGACCCTACTATCCATGCTCAATGTCGAGAAATCGGCCGAGACCCCTGAGATGGCTGTGGCCGTCTCTCTTTGCCGTGTGTTCAGCCGATTGATCGCCGGGGGAAATTTGACCGAGTCAAGCCGTGCCGCTGAGAACGAGAAAATCGTCGTGGCATGGTTGAAAGAGCGTTGCCTTGATTATCAGACTGCTCTTGTGGCTATCATGCGCGAGGCAGATGCTTCCTCCCAGGTATGTATATTCTGATCTGGCGGGCGTTACTATTACTAACGATGTCTAGATTGCTGCTCTGACGCTGAGCATGCGCATTGTCAAGGAACGCCTCGCCCATATTCCGGGTGCGGAGAATAACGTTTGGTCGACGGGTTTCTTCAAGGATATATTTGCGGCCATCATCGAGGCCAATAACGGCCAGGATCTGCAGACCGAAGCCGTTGCGAAGTTCGTGAAGGAGTATGAGGATGTGAGGTACTACACTTTCACACAGATGGCGTATGTATATCTTTTCCTACTGTCGAGTCTTGCGGCTAACATATATCAGTGATTATGCCTCCACAAAACGGACCCCCGAAGTCCTCGAAACCCTGATTAAGATCCTTCAGACCTGCGATGAGGTACCTGGACCGGAACACAAGTTCGAAAACTTCTACGCGAAACGAGACACCAAGAATAAGCGCCTAGTTTCGGCAAACTCCCACAGGAAGCAGGCACAGGAGGCGTGGTTGGCCATTCTACGAAACAATCTCTCGCAATCACAACGGAAAAGCCTGCTGCGTATGATGGTCCACAACATCGAGCCGTGGTTCAACCGACCGGAACTGCTCATGGACTTCTTGACGGACTCATACAATGTGGGTGGTGCGACATCTCTCCTCGCACTATCTGGTCTCTTCTACCTGATCCAAGAAAAGAACCTGGACTACCCTCAATTTTACTCCAAGCTGTACTCTCTCCTGGATTCCGAGTTGCTGCACTCAAAGCACAGATCACGATTCTTCCGACTGCTGAACACCTTCTTGTCCTCAACCCATCTTCCGTCCACATTGGTTGCCAGCTTTATCAAGCGTCTCGCTCGTCTTGCATTGAATGCCCCTCCCTCCGCCATCGTGGTGCTCGTCCCGTTCATGTACAACTTTTTCAAGAACCATCCCACAACCACATTCATGCTGCACCGATCTATTCGTGATAAGGATGAACTCGCGCAAGTGGAAAAAGAGGGCATGGACGATCCGTTCGATCCAAACGAGTCCGACCCCAACATGACCAACGCCATTGAGAGCAGTCTTTGGGAGATTGAGACCCTTCAATCTCACTTCCACCCCAACGTTGCGGCCATTGCACGGATCATCTCCGAGCAGTTCACAAAGCAAGCATACAGTCTGGAAGATTTCCTTGACCACACATATGCGGGCATGGTAACTGCAGATCTTGGAGTGGAAGAGAGAAATCTCAAGAAGATTCCTGTCGTCGAGTACCAGATTCCCAAGCGTATCTTCACAGATCGTCTACTAGAGGAAGATGGTGGTGTGGACTCTGGTCCGGGGTGTTTCATGCGGGATTTGTGGGAGTTCTGAGGGTTCTATATCAGCGTATACCAATTCAATTTGTTCGACAATGGAGTCTCAAGGGTTTAGAGATTGCGGGGTATAGTCGTAGTTCCCTGCCTGGAATAGAAGTGATCATCCACCAACACATCCCTTGCTGCAGGTCTAACCCTAGAAGTCCAACTCTGAAAGTAAACATTGGACATGGGCGTCGCAGCAGTGGCCACGGACAGCCCCAACTAGCAAATCAAAGGAAGCCGATGTATTTGATATGACTTGGGGCTCATTATTGCTCTGCAACCACCATAGATGAAGCAAGAATGGCATTGAGACCTATATTGTCCCTGCTTACGTTGTACATTTGAGATATATATTCTCTAGTCGTGTAACACTCGATCGTATACATTCTTTCAACTCCACTCAACTTCGTGCCATTATTGTCATTGCTAGTATTATTTCCTATGTATATAAGTTTATGCCATTGAACTCTATTGACATATCCTAGGTTATTGAGTTGCAAGGCTGGGGAAATATTCGGTATTCTTCGTGCCGTATGGATTGCGATCAAGCTACCCCAACCCCCAGACTACACAACTGAACCATATGGCACCCCTTGGTATGAGATCTATGGTAGAGCAAAGCCCGGGAAATGCTTGATGGGCGGTAAAAGACGATCTTAGAGCCTTGTAGATCGATCCTCACCAAAACAAAACGGAAAGGGATGGCATTCCAGCATTTCCTGGCAAGTAGTGTTATTGGGCCATCATACTTCACCCTTTTCGTTGATGGGTTATAAGCCCTTCATTATACGAATTAACCATTACTATGAGGAAAATGAAGCCTTGGTGCAGCGACCCAGGCATTACGCTCAAACATACCGAATGACAGCAACCTCCCGTACACTTGCCATGAAGGCCGGTAAAGCTCCCACAGGCATAGTCTTGAATTACCATTTCTCGAGAATTTAAAATGCTAGATAGCAGGCATTCCCTACACAAGGTAGACTACATGCTTTCTTAGGTAACGTATTGATGCTTCATTATTAGGGCTATCGGAATGTAACATTCTCCCATAATGCCCTTGGGTCTCAGCATTAGAATACCGACAGGCGGCTTTCATACTCATTTCTGTGGACCTGGGAAAGATCCAGGGAATTTTTGCCGTCAGTTAAGAATCGCGATGCGCCACCGAAATTGTTGAAGTTGTATCGCGTTCTCCATCACAAGCTCACTTAGTTCGCGAATACCACACAATCCTTTTCTGATATCACCTCACTTTCTTTAAATCCCAACCATCTATTAACTTTCTTTCTTTACAATGCATTTTTCTAAGAGTGTTATTGCCGTCACGGCCTCCATCGTGTCCGTTGGTCTCGCAGCCGACCCTCTATCCTTCACTTCCTGGCCCAAGGAGCCCCTCAAAGCTGGCAAGCCGGTTACCCTTACATGGACTGGCGCCGATCCTGATCAGGTAATACGTATATCCTCCGCTGAATCATAACAAAACTGACTCCGTTTAGCCTGTGACCATCCTCCTCCGCCAAGGTTCCTCCGGTGACCTGCAAGCTGTCAAGCCCATCACCACCTCGAGCAAGGGCGGCTCCTTCACCTGGACGCCTGACAGCGATGTCAAGGACGGCGATACCTATGCCTTCCAGATCTCGCAGAAAGACCAGACTAACTATACCGCTCTGCTGAAGTCAGCTGGCAAGCCCGCGGCTGATGACCCTGACGCAAAGGATACCACGTCCGAGACTGGCACTGCTGCTTCTACTGCTACAGCCACCGGTACCACCACCGGTACCAACACCAGTACCAACACCGGTACCAACACCGGTACCACTACTGGAGCCACCACTGGAGCCACCACTGGCACTACCGACACTACTTCCGCTCCTAGCACCTCGACCACTGGGGGTACTACCGAGGCAACCCATACCACAATGACCAGCACTACCAGCAAGGCGCTGATTAGCTCCTCTGCCAGCGCATCTGGTAGCCCTTCTAGCTCAGCCGTCGCCAGCTCAACCGATAGCTTGAGGGCTACCCGCACCGAGGTTGTCAATGGCAAAGAAGCATCCTCCACCGGAACCTCGCAAACTGGTGCTGCTTCTATCCCGCAATACTCCGTACAATTGGTAATTGGTATTGTTGGTCTCCTCGCCTACCTTGTCTAGTTCATTCTTTCGTTTTGGCGTTGTCGGTCTTATTTTTGGATGCGGTGTTATGGTTGAGTTATGGAAAAATGGTCTAATTCCTGTATATAGAATACCGCTGGATATCATTGATATATAGGTGGCCTGAGGCGTTGAGGAAGTAATCAATTATATCCAGCATATTCAACTCATCCGACATGCATACATGCACTATCAAAAATCTGAACAAAAACACCAAAACACGAAAAAGCAAAGGGAAAAAAGACAACCAGACCTGTCGTTCTCCGCTAGCGTAGTGGCGTTCCCTGACAGACGCGGAGTTGGAACACAAAGAACCATGATCGACTGATCTTCCACAACTTCAACCTTTCTTACCGCTACTTCCTTATTTTGGGATCTTCTGCAGTATCGTTTTGTTTTAGTCATTGATCTTTTAACAATTGCATGAGACAGCGCCTTTATTGATCAGAGGCCTCCCTTGCGATGCCTAGATGAATAAGCGAAATCATAAGACAACGACCTCACATCTAGCTCAATTGGCTTCTAATACTGGTATGAGCCTTTCCCTTCACAGGTCTACTGGTTTTTGCTCCCGTCTTGTTCTTCCCATCTGGTTCCTCATGACAGGCGCGGGCGGTCACCATGGGGGGCTTCAAACGGGTCATGAAGCGTCTCAGCCCTAGCAAAAATCTTATACCGATTGCTGCTGACCCCCCTATCCGTGCAGAAGCGCCACAGGTCAATCTTCCGCATGTGGACACGCAATTGAATATGCACCAGCATAACGGATTCCTCGACGATGAATCAGCCCCCGAAGGGCAGAATGGTTGGTAATTCCGCTCCTACCCTCAACTTCCAAGCTTACGATCTCCCCCCCCCCCACTCCAGGCTACAATCGAGCCTCCTCATCTCCTTCGAACCCTCCGAACCCCGCCGAAACGAACAATAACGATGCTCCTACATCTGAATGGTCAGCCGTTGGCCATGCAGCGGCGACAGGGAAATCCGGACGTGTTATCCACAATCTCCAAGAGGAAATAGCACGCTTAACGCGCGAATGCACACTCTACAAGTCCCGCGCGGAGGAGTACCAAAGAACCAACGAGGCCTACAAGATCCAGCAGCAAAACATGAACGAGCGCCTACGGAACCTCGAGCAAGTCAACGAGACCAACCTCAATTCAATTGCACGGAAAGACCGGAAGCTGGAGGAACTAAGAACGGAGCTCCAGCACGAGCGCAGCAAGCGACAGGACGCGGAAATGGACGCAAACCAGACCAACCATACTATGCGCGAGGAGCGCGAGAACCACAATCGCGAACAAGCCCGTTCACTAGAGATCGCCAAGCACCACGAGACACAGTACGAGGTGCTATCTAGCGCCACAAAACGCGACAAGGCAGATTTTGCAAAACGCATCAATGCCATCTGGGCCGAGTTCACGACTATCGCCAACGCGCAGAAAACACATATACATTCCACCGAGCGGCTGGAGGTTCTTGCGGATCAGAAGAACAGGGAATTCGACACCCTCAAGGAATCTTATGAGAAACTGCTCGCTCAGCACTCCGCGTATAAGGAAATGAAGGATAACGACTTCCGCGAGACGATTGAGTCTGCCAAATCTAACAACGACATGATCGCTGGTGTACTTGCTCAGGTCAAGGAGACCGAGACAGAAATGAAGTGGGCGATCCGGCTCAATGAAAGTCGGAAACCCAGTGACTGATTGGAGCTTTGTCTTTGTTCATTGTCGGCTGTCTGTGTCAACCTCCAACCTTAACCATACGAATTGTCCATCACCACGCCCATCTTCTCTCTGCTCTCTGCTCAGCTCCCCCCAAAAACTGGTCGCCAAATTAACGCCACGACCGCCTTCCAAAACATTATTCCGTCCCGATTTCATCGTTTCCACTCGATCCTATGTCTCAACAACCCACTCCCTGCCAACCACTCCTCTTCATTTCTCATAGACCATTCTTGGCCGGTGCATGGCGTTTCATTTCCCTTTGCAGCAGATACCCGTGGCAGAGCTCAATTCCGTCGTGTACCCTTCGATTTTTGTATTCCTGTTTCTACTCTTGCCTTCACCTACATTTTCACCTCCTTCCCCGTTGTACTGTTACCCCCTCTTGTTAGATATGACGCTTGACGACCTGCATATTTTTACCTGGATATGATTACACCGTGATGAACATGGTGGCGAGTCTTGTTTCTTGCTTCATGTTCAGAAGACCATTAAAGAGAGTGGCTACATATCTTCTTTCTGCCTAGATGTTATGGGTGGTTATTATGCAGCTCAGAAATTTATACTCTTTCTACTTTTGCTTGATTTGTTCTATATGTACTCCCCATCTTCCATGCATTATTGTAATCCAATCTTATTGTCTTTGATATAAGATAGCACCGCGCGTTCACACGTCCATCGCTTGCCACTGACTTCCAAGTTGATAGACACGAGAGACTCTAGTTGTTCCTTCCATTCAGGAAGGTTTGGACGCCGTCGCTGCCATAACAAGAAACATACCTCACTTGACTCTTTTATTTCGCCTCTACTTCCTCTTTCATTTTCATCTTCATCTTCGTCTCATATGCAATGTTAACTACAGTGTGCTTCATCAAATCGATTGTCTAGGTGCCGTTTACCTAGTCCTTCTGTAATCGATTTGCCTTCACCTGTCTCTTACTCAAGGGCCGATCAACATACCTCTTGCTGAATTGCTTTCTTCAAACATGTTTTAAACTAATCCACGTCTTCAAATCGATTGAAAGCTTAAAAAGCTCTGTCTCCAATCCATTTGCATCCGTTCCACCGTCCCTAGTCGATTCCCGTCCGCCCAGTTGACGGCCGACTCCAATTTATTTGGGTCCATCCTCATCCAAGTGCGCATCGTCACACCTGCCCACCCATAGCTCTTCAACATATAATCCGAGATGGCTAATAGCCGGACGCTTTATTTGAGTTCAATGTGGTCACTGGAGGACCGAGGGGTAAGTTTATATCCTAACATCCTCGTGCTTATCATTCCGAATGGCTGGGACTGACCAGGCTCGATATAGATTTCTGAATTTCGAGACAAGCTCAAGTATGGCATACTATGTACACTTATATTGATCAAAACTGACTCTTTTATAGGAAATTGAATCCCGGTGCTTCGATCAAGGTCCAATATCAATCTGATAAGCATGTGAGTCCGTTGTATACTATTTATAATGGTGGCTCTGCTAATCCTACCCAGTTCTTGATTGTAACTGGTCAGTTCGATGATGAATTCGATGTCGAAATCACATCGCTTCTTGCAACTTATATCGAAGAGCATCGCAATGATGATCTACTTGAGGTATGTTTCAATGCCTCCCCAGCACGCAAGTTATATTGTACTAATGTCTCCTACTCAAGATGCCGAGAGTTCGGCAAATTCCGATCTCGGCCTACTTCGATCCCAATCCCCTTCTTGGCTACGGAAGCGATGCGCAGCCAGGGGTGGAAACCCTAGTGGAGGAAATTATGCCGACACAACCCACTAGCGATGGACCCGTTGTCAAGTTCTGGTATCCCTCGCAGGTGGGATTAGGTCCCATCTCTCATGAATCAGGCCCTCTCCTACGTCGAATTTCCGAAATGACAGAAACACAAATTACAGTGCAGGAAGCCCGAGGGCTCCGTATTTCTGCACAGGACATGGACAACATCAAGGGGGCAATGGATATACTCGACTCCCTTGAAGAGTGCTTGGTATAGTCCTGATTCTTCTTTTTCTAAGTCCTGTATGTTAATATATATTTTCTAGGATCTCATTGAGAACCAAAACCAAGGGCTGATCATCCTTACTCCAAAACGGGAAAACGCTACCTTTCGCGTCATGACATATGCGCAGATCAGTGCCACTGCCTTGTGGCGTATTTTAATCGACCGAAATGCCTCTCTTCGTCTTCCAAAGATAATAATTTTGGTGGTTTGTGAATTCGACGAGCTCGCTAACGAATTCCGTCCACTTCGCAAACTTCGGCAGCCGCCGCAAGTGGTCCTGAAGGAAGCGAGCATTACTAGAGATTGGGAAGACTATTATTTTCCAGAGATAGGTCCGAAAAACGACCCCCTTCTAGGGGAGATTGATCAGCATCTCCTGCCTAAAAGTGAGACCTCTCCCGAGAGGGGCGATGCTCAGCACCCGTTTCTCTCTACTGGGAAGGCAAAAGATGTCGACAATTGGATCTCTCGGGGTGTCGATAAACGGCCTTTGGCAACCGACAGTCGTATAAAAACACCACTGGGAGATGAGCCCACCTTCCCTGAGATTGTTGGGTCCAAGCCTCCACCTGAGTCCGGCGTTTCCGCGCCACGGGACCAGAGACAGTCCAGCCCATTCAAGCCCAATCCGGCAGGCATCAAAGGACGTGTGGTTATGCGACCAGATGGAACTGTAGCACCCCCTATCCAGCCTCGACAAGAGAAGCCAACAGGCACCCCTCGTGGCTCAATTACCTCTCTGTTTAGCAGACTCAGCTATAGGGAGAGAATGAGGGAGCAACAGGCAGCCGGTTCGTCTGCCTCAGTCCCTCAACAAAGAGCCGTCGGGATTGTTCGTAGCGCGGCTAACCCCACTGTTCCAAACGCAGCTTCTAAACAATCGGAAACAAGGTCTAAGGTAACCGGTCCTGTGACTTCTACTTCTACTCAAGAACCGAAATCAATTGCCACCCCGTGTCCCCCAGTTCTGTCCACTCATCCGGGTGCAACACCCAAACAGTCGGAAGAAAAGTCAGATGCAGCTGGTTTGGCTTTCTCTCCAGCTAACAAAGAAGAGAAGCCGACTAGTCGCTCTAGTTCTCCAAGAGTCGACAGGGCCCAGCCTCTTGGCATACTCGAGACAGTGGATTCACAGGTGAATACATCACCCCAAGGGCGAAGTGTCGATTCAGTGATGGGGCAGATAAGGTTAATTATTGATACGGCCAAGACCTCGAGGGAAACTCGAATGGAGGAATTGTCCAACAAGCCAAAAATAACAGATCAAAAACACCCAAGCACCACATCCACTCAGCTGGATCTCAGAAAAGAGGACACAGAAGACCTCAGCCCTCTCATTGATCTTGATTGTGAAGTGAAGAGCCTGGATAGTGGTTTGAAAAACATCGTTGCGTTCGATCCGCCAGCTACAGTCCCATCAAGCGGTCCCAAGGATTCTACAGATGCTCAACATGACCAATTCCAGCATCGTGAGGCTACTACTTCTACTCAAACTGATGATATTTTCGATACACCCAATATCGATGATACAACCATGCAACCTCAGCTAACTTCGACCATCTCTCCTTGTTCTGGGCCAACCGAAGATCTGATGATCCTCCATGCGACGACTCCAGCCTCTGTTACTAGCGAGCCTGCCCAGCCAGGACTCGCAACAGGTGCGCCATTGCCTGATTCAGAGGTTGCTGGCTCTTATAGCCAGAGCGACGTATTGGAAGACGAACAGGAACCCGAACACGCTGCTGAATTTCGCAGCAAGGCGGATGAAGTAGCACTGGAATACCTGCTCAAGCAGATCAAGGAAAATCCAGCCCCGGAAATCCCTAGCATTGAGGAGATTTCTATGCTCCTTTATGCTAACCCAATTGATCCTGCACCTCGAGGTCTGTCCTCTAGCTCGCTTCTCAGTTCTCCCCGTGGTATTCAGCCACATCAAGACCCTGGTCAGGGGGCTGAGAAGGTGCCATTTCTTCATCCAGATCTCATTGATATCTCACCTCAGATGCTTTCTCCTCGCTCGAGTAATGCTTCTTTGCAACCATGCGGCTCCAAAGGCGAGGAGCAAGGTACGGAAACTGAAGTTGGCGAAAAGCTGGCGGTCTCAGATGAGACACAGACAAGGGAATTCCGTGAGAAAATGTTCCATCAGCGGCCTCCCGACAAGGCTTTTCATTGGGTGGATGAGGTAACCAAAGTAGTGAAAAGGGCAAAGATTGAAGTCCACACTGCTGATACCCGGGAGCGAAAGGAAAACACTGAAACCAATGCAGAGCACAAGGGAAATGTTCACGCCCCAGTCGTTAATTTCTGGCACCGAAGAACAGTATCTAAGTCAACACAAGCACAGCCACAAAAAAGCATTGCTTCTCCCACGAAGACGGTTGTGAAATCATCAAAAGAAAAGAAGCTCGTTTATGACTCAACAGAGTCTCTATTTCGCTTCCTTCGACCAATTCTTGATGCAGTCCGCAGCTTTCCCGGAACGTTGAGTCTTCAATTCCAGTTCGGTCTTATGTTCATGCCCAGTCTGCCAGCTTCAACCAAAGAGAGGGAGATGAGCTACAGGGAGATTCACCAGCTGTTCTTCTCTAAGAATAACTTGACACCGCCTCCAGCCTCATTCTTCGAGCGCTTGACTTCCTCCCCAGTGGACATTGACTACCTCATCGACTTGGAGGTCAATCAATCTCGTCTGTTCGACCAAAAGTACAGCCACCGAGGCATAAAGTACGAGTTCTGGTGCCGTGTTGGTCCGAACAGAACCATTGTTATCTCTGTTAATGAATATGGGCATGCTATGATTCGTTATCCTGAGATCTCCCTAGGCACGGTGCACTTGAGTTTCCCTTCACAAGTCTGGGATGCAGCTGCTAGGGTACAAGGCTTTATCGAATACATTACGGGAGCTGACCCGGAGCTTGACGAAGCTGCACGAATGATGGCGAAAAGCATCCGGATAGAACCAAACAATAAACATCTCCGTATGCTGGTCCGTCTACCGCCTGCGTCAAAGTTCAAAATCGAGAAGGTGTTCATGGAACGATGGAGTCGTCACCATTACTTCTCGGAAAAGAGCAAGAACCTGTTTCTCCAAATCAGCGAAACCCAAGAACTCTTCGCCATCCCCTCCATTCTGGATCCAGGTATCATGGTTCTGCAGAACGCCCCGCTTGAGAAAATGGTCAAGGATGGAAAACAGTGGTGGCAAGCCTCAATTGTCAGCAGCAAAGTGGACGATATCATGAAATCAAATTCCTTCCTGGAACCTGGTGACCGCAATGAGTCCTGGTGTGCGACAGATCTGCTCGGTGCAGATATCACAAATGTCGTTCCCTCTACTGCGAACCAGGAGCTGAGTACCCTGGGAGCTGAAGTCGCTCATTCGGGAATTGGAGCAATGTTCCAACTTGCTAAAACTGTCGTGCAGAAAATCGATGCTGTCGGGTACTGGAATAGAGGTCCTGCCAGCCTTGACGGATGCACTAACACGTCGAATGACCGCAGCCAAGGTGGTACGGGTACCGTCAAGGAGCCATCCAATGACTTGGGGAACCAATTAGTACCCTGGTCCCCGGCGGCTGGGATCAAGGAAAAGCACAAGTGGTGATGGGATAGGGAGGATGAAGATGGATCTCGGGATTGGAGTGGAAATGGGACAGATGTATTCTTGTCGTTGTCGTTTGATTCTTAGGATCGTTATGGGTTCATGAATGTACCCGGATGACATCAAGTTGCATTTAAGATAATACGAAAATAAAAAAAACACTGTTTGAGGTTTTGAGAATTGCCCTGTGGTTGATGGATTTGTGTAGTTCAGCCCTATAGTAGACCTCGGGATATCGATATGCGTCTACGACCACGGCCCGCACTGTCTATTGCCACCCACCCTCGTCGTTAGCCACGCAGGTGTTCAGGTGCCCCTATTGACTTTCAATGCTTGACTTTTCCTCGCAAATTAATGGCTACCTAATACCCTTCCAATATAATCCTAGCCCTTCTCGCACATAGCGATGGGCCTTGCCTTGCTTGGTGTTGTCATTTGCGGGATGGATGGGCTTGGGAGACAGAGTACAGTCGTCCACCGGAGATTGCTTGTAGGTGGAGTACTACACGCAGTATTATATAGATATCAGAATGGTATTATCAAGCTCTCTGTCTTTTGATTCAACCTCATCCTCCATTCCAGACACCTCGCTTCTGACAATTTTTGCTTGCTCATATTCGACTAGCTAATTGATGGCTTTCTTCTTATTCGTACTTTTAGTCAATTTGCCAGGTCTCTAGCTAAGCGCGCTGTGCGTTATAACAATTTCATGATGTCTCAACTCAAACGGCCACAACGTGCTCGGCAAATCGACTACTGCACTCTCAATATATCATAGGAAGTAGAAAGTTGGCGTTCTATTGCACGAACAAGTCTTTGCGATTATAGCAAATCATCCCTTCGCGTCGCGTGAGACTATTCAATGTCTCCATTAAACCTAAGCAGCCTCCTCCTGTGGGTTTGAGGATCTTTAGATCCCGCTGCTAACAATGCCTGCACCACCTCAGTGTGACCTGCTATTTCCGCCATTTTGAGGGCTGTTTTGCCGGAATCTTCAATGCCAGCCTTAACGTCAGCTTCAACGTCAATATCTGCTTTCGCTGCTAGCAGTGTCTGCACCACTTCAAGATGACCTCCTTTTGCTGCCGCTTGGAGAGCTGTCCGTTCGCCATACTCGGCAGAAAATACGTTGACGTCTGCTTTTGCTCTTAGCAGCGCCTGCACCGCTTCGAGGTGACCTCCTCCTGCCGCCGCTTGAAGGGCTGTTCTGCCAGTAGATTTAGCATGAGATGCATTGACGTCTGCTCCTGCTGCTAATAGTGTCTGTACCACTTCAATATGACCTCCTTCTGCTGCCGCTTGGAGAGCTGTCCGTTTGCTATATCCAGTATAAAATGCGTTGACGTCTGCTTTTGCTCTTAGCAGCGCTTGTACCACTTTAAGATGACCTTCTTCTGCTGCCGCTTGGAGAGCTGTCCGTTCGCCATATTTAGCAGCAAAAAATGCGTTGACGTCTGCTTTTGCTCTTAGCAGCGCCTGTACCACTTCGAGGTGACCCCCCCCTGCTGCTGCCTGGAGAGCTGTTGGTGCACCATATTTAGCAAATGCGTTGACGTCTGCTTTTGCTCTTAGCAGCGCCTGCACTACTTCGAGATGACCTCCTTTTGCTGCCGCTTGGAGAGCTGTCCGTTCGCCATACTCGGCAGAAAATACGTTGACGTCTGCTTTTGCTCTTAGCAGCACCTGTACCACTTCGAGGTGACCCCCCCCTGCTGCTGCCTGGAGAGCTGTTGGTGCACCATATTTAGCAAATGCGTTGACGTCTGCTTTTGCTCTTAGCAGCGCCTGCACTACTTCGAGATGACCTCCCCCTGCCGCTGCCTGGAGAGCTGTTCGTGCACCATATTTAGCAGAAGAAGATAAGTTGACATTTGCTTTTGCTGTTAACAGCGCCTGCACAACGTCAAGATGACCTGCTTCTGCTGCCGCTTGGAGGGCTGTTCTGTCATTTACTCGGGCATCAATGTCAGCCCCTGCTTGGAGTAACATGGCTAGGGAACGAACACATCCATGTATCGCAGAATATGAAAATCCACGATTCAAGATGCTGCTGGTATCGCTAAGGCGAACGAGCACCTCGGTGTATCGATAACGATTGTGAATGTCAGCGCGCTGAAGGATGAAATCCACCATATTTTCGGAGAAAATCTGAGACTGATGTCTTTCATAGTATAAAAGTAATGCGTAATGACCATGGGCCGATAACCATTGTATAGCCTCTGGTATATCGTTTATCTTGGTATCAGTCTGCTGTTCCGACTCCCATGGTCTGCATGTAAGAACATCATCGCCTTCGATGCACCGGCAAAACAATCCCCACATAGTACTATTCGTATCCGGAGTCAAATCAGCCAGATGGTTGAGCCAGTAGGCCCTGGCGTAATTGAGAAACTGAAACCCTCGCTCCGGCTGGGAAGCATCCCCACCAAGTATTTTTTGTGCTGTCCTCTCTACCCCCCGAGTGCTGAAATGCTGCAGCTGGCGATGACGGGAAAGAAGCCTTTGGGCTATCTTACTAGTAACTCTACTGGAAGAGCGGGTGGGTAGAGTACTAGTACCGAGCTGAAGGGGGTTGATGGGAGTACCGGAACCATTCTTCAGTTTCGTCAACTGACGCTTGAAGTCGGTAAAATCCAGATATATCATGCAAAGGAACCCGAAATTCTGGTCGGCGCTTGACACCTCGAATTGCGCTATGTGTAGACCATTTGTGATAAAAAGACGTTCTTGCACACTACGATGAACATAGTGTATAGTGTCTTCCTCTTCGTCAACGAATGTTAATCCGCAACAACCATTGATGATCCTATCCATGTCATTGGGGACCTTTCCGTGGTCAAAGGTCTTTTGCTCGAGAGAAAGACTAAGGGCTTCTCGATATTCCGTGACTGTCAATGGCCTTTTCACTGTCCCACAATATTGTAGCAGTTTCATTGCCTGCAGGGCTGCCCGTCCCTCTCGAACGCGACAAAGTTTTCGATCATAGAGCTCAGCCAAGCTCTGCGGAAGATGCTTTAGTGCTTCTAGGATGTCGTGATCACAATTCTGCGCACAAAGCTCTTCAATACAAAGACTTGCCCAAAGAAACCTATGTTTTTTGAGTCTATTAGCAGTGCATTTAGGATTGCATAGTCACATAGCCTAATCTTGACATGTGTCTTCGATTTAGTGGCGTTAACACTTACATTCCTCCAGCTTTGCCCCTTAAGGTGTTGTATATCTCTGTGATGATTGCTGGTTCCCCGAGAATCAAAGTCTCATCCTCTAGACACTTTTCCAACGTCTTGGTGATATAGTGATCCATGTCCGACTTGACCTTTTCCTCATTTACTATGATTCTATACTGCGGTGCGGTGTATTTGAACTGTTTTTCAAGTCCGGGTCGGCCTGCGCAGAGAATTTTGAAACCAACATAGTTGCTGCAGAGCTCGGCGATAGCCCGTGCCACCGCTTGAACCCGATTGCTGTCACATTCATCCAGTCCATCCAGGATAACATAGTACTTATCACCATTAGCAGCCTCCAGATGAGACAACAAGAACTTAACGACGTCAGTCGTGCTAAGATCCTGCGTGGTCTCCTGCAAGGAGAGTAGAGTTTCATATCCGCTTTGCTCAATATGAGTATTGAGGATTTGACGGGCAAGACTCCCAAGAATCTCCCTCGCAGACAAAGATGCCTCGTTGTCGATGCGGCAAAAGTAGTAAGATACAGTCTCATTGCTCTTGCGGGCTGTATGTAACCGTAGCTGGTCTACCACATTAGACATAAGCACTGTCTTGCCCATGCCTATGGTGCCTAAACACCAGAGTATCGCAGTTTGCGGATCGTTTTTCCACTCATCAAACACTAACTCTCTCTGAAACCATTCAGCTGTGGTTGAAACTCGTTGCTTCAGGACCTGTCTCAAATGAGGGTCCTGGTTGATAGGAGAAAGATTGTTTCGAATGATTGTCTTCAATTTCGCCATTTCCTTTTTTTTCAATTTCATTCGCCACTCGCTTGCATCGGCTTGTTGTTTCAGTGATGTTTTGTAGAAATCTAGGGTTTTTGGTCGGAATGTTGAATTCTGTTGACTTTCATATTCTAGCAGCTTTTTCGCTTCTTTGTCTGCTTGCTTTGATGCGAGTGATACCTCCAGGTTTATCTTATGTGTAGCTTCATCTAGCAGATCTAGGAATGGCTTAAACTCTGATTCAAAAGGGCTTAGGATCGAGGAAAGAGTTTGTTTGAGGGCGGTTCGACGGGAGACTTCGATTACCTTGACACAGAGATGAATGATGACGGCGTAGAAATCACAAAGGGCACTTTGGAGGCCAGTAGAGCCGGGGTAGAGTAGGCCAAATTGTTGGTATGTCGGAGAAGATTTGCCGATACGCATGATCATGTTTGTGACTTTGTCAAAGTATGAGGCCACATTACTCGCCGTCAATATAGCAGTCTTTATACCTCCCCAGACGAGGGCGGCTACTATCGGATTAGAACTAATGAAGGTGTCGACGACGCCGGTGAACTGTTGTGTTGCCTCTAAAAAGGTACATAGCCGTGGAGCCACGCACCTCCTCGTTGTGCTGCTATTTCTAGCATCAATCTCTGCGACAAACTCTATAACGCTGGCAATATCTGGTGTGGTGGTGCTTTTTTGAAACTCTCGTTTTTGCTCCTCTGTCAGGGTATTCTCAAAATTCTTCAATGCTGCATTAAGAGATTGTGTAGGGTCTGCCCCCTGCGCTTCTGCTCTTGGGAGCAGTTGAAGGGCCATCGGACGGTTCCCGATACACAAGTTAATTGTTTGTCGAAATTAATTCACAGAAGTGTGTGGGAATTTCCATAGACTCTATCGTTGCACAGCCTGTGTGAAGGTCATGGGCGGGGTTAATGTCGTTTTGACAATAGCTGAGCCTCGCTCACAGCCCTGCAATGATATAGACCAATTAGGGTCGGCCACATCAGTGATCGTCACGTGTGAAGTCAGTCCTGAAGTACACATATTGTGTACTGATACTAAAGCCATCTTCAATCCAGAAATACCACCAAGAGTGCATGCTGAAGAATTTAAACGTTCTTTTTGCCATTAAATCGAGGGAGCCCGGAAAACCCGATGTCTGCCAATAGTAGTCTATGCTCAGTGTATGATAATAAACAACCTCTAAACTTAATGCGAGTATATTCTTCCCTTTGACCCAAGTATAATCATTCTTCCTCTTCCGGCGCATCATCCACACCACGTAGCCAGGCAGCTCTAGCATCTACCGCTGCCTTCCGCACATCACGCTTAGGATCATCAAGAACCGCCCGCAACGACCTCAGAACCTGAGTCTTAACAGGCAAGAGCGGCGAGATACCCGGCGGCGCACGCGTGTTAGCCGCAGCGCCGGGCACCTGGTGCGTGGCAAGGAGATTGAGACATTTCAAAGCATCCGCGCGGAGACGGGGGCTATTAACAGCGCCAGGTCCGATGTTTGTAGCTGTTGTTTTGAGGAGTCTCGTGACAAGACTTTGGACGTGGCCACACTTGTCGATGACTACGACGCCGTTATCACGGATAATAACGGCGAGAGTATCAAGTGTTGCTGTGCGGACCGCGACGGAATCGGCGGTCTGAAGATCGAGGGATTGCAGGAGGAGGGGGAGCAGGGTGGGGAGTTCTGGCATGACCAGGGCTGTGGGGATTGTGGAGAGGATACCCGCCAGGGCAGTCAGGTGTGCTGGTTTGATATGTTCAAGCGCTTTTGGGGCGGTGGCAGAGTCATCTGTGCCGGCGATGTTCACTTCGCGGATGCGAGATGAGATCAGGGGGATGACTGTTGTGAAGAGACGCTGTCTGCAGAGGAGGCGGATTGTGGCGCCGTTGGTTGCGGACAGGATGTCGTCTTCGCCGAGGATTATAGAGAAGCCTTGTGCTGCTGTCGCGCTGGTTTGCTGGACTGGGGAGGAGAGAAGAGCAAGGAGGGAGGTCAGGATGTGGGTGGTTGAGGGGGCTAAGCGGAGGATCAAAGCTTTGGAGAGCCAGAATATGGTGCGGATGGTCGCGGGGTTGAGATTCTTTGATTCTGTGTCCTGGCTTTGGAGGAGAGAATCAAAGAGTTTCTCGGCGATTGTCACATCCTGTTTCGACAAGAACTTGTTGACGAGCAAGGCTAGGTGACGCAGGTAGGCTTGGTGTGTTGCTGGTTCGGTGCTCGAGACTGCACGATGGACCAGATTCAACAGCAAACCCGACATGTCTGGGTTAGTGTGCGGGATTTTGTTGCCGCAGTCCTTGGATATTCCCGCGAGCAAGTATGTCGAGATAATGATAGTACGTTCTTGGTCCGCATTTGTAGTCTGGGTGAACGGAATAGGCACAAAGTCTTCAGCGGCAGAGAAGAGGCTGTAGACATTTTCGGCAACTTGTTCCTGTTTCTGAATGGAAACAGACCGCACAAGAAGATTGCAAAGTCGACCCAAAGTGTCAAGCACAGTAGGATCATTAAGAATGCGGTTCTTTGCCCTGCCAGATGCCGATGCTGCGACATCACGGCAAAGTCCAACCACAACCTTGTCGAAGTACAAATTCACACTCTGGTCTTGTTCCATGCTTCTCTGTTGCATAACATAAAGCAAAGTAGTGAGAATTGCACGTGGGTAAGCAACTGACCGGAGTTGCTCCTTTTGCAGCAGAATAGATAGTTTGCTAAACAGACGACGGAAGAGTGTCTCGAAAATGTCCCTCTCGACGCTGATCTGAGCAAGGGTCTCGAGTGTCGGCAGATACAGGGCATGCGAGCCTTCATCTTCCTCTGGCAGAGTTGCCACAAACGCAGGGAAAGTGATATCCACAATCAAGCGGGGCTTGTGCTTGGAAATCTCAGCAAGAGCAGCAATAGCTTCTTTCTTGAGGTCATTCCGGCCCACAGATTCCTCCTTGAGAAGGATTTCGTCAAGGTATTGCACGAAAAGCCCAATCTCATTCTCCTGAAAGAAATCACGCAAAGTAGACAGACGCAAGAAGCCCTTCAAGGCAGTCACCCGGAAGGAAACCTCTTCCTTGGCTGCACCCATCAATGCCTGGCCAAAGAGGTCCGAGAATTGGTCTTTGAATTCGAGTAGCGGGTTTTCGATAGTTACCTCACCACCCCGGGTGGTCCACTGTCCGAATACGGTTGTAGCAGCTTCGAACAAGACATTCAAAGTTTCGAGAAGTGCCCTCTGTTTGACGATTCCGTCCGCTTCTTGGTAAAGGGTGAAAATTGGAGGTACGACTGTTTGTACAACAAGGTTAAATGAAACGGGCGAACCAGCAGACACACAGCTGAGGATCGACTGGGCCGGCTTGGCCTGCTTGTTTTGAGGCTCCTGGAGTTGCTCATTACACTCCTTGGTGATTGGCTGAAGGTACTTTGCAAGAGGCAATTGCTGTGACACTTCAGTAACTCCTTCAGATAGCCGTTGGGTGATTGCTTGCAGGGCCTCGAGGGACATTTCAGATAAAAACTCCTCTTGGGCATTGAGAATCTCAAACTTGAGGACTTCCCATATGGTAATAGAGAACTTGGACACTGTGTCGGGGTCGTATGAATGAATACATGCGATCAATGTACCAAGTGCATCTTTCTATAAATCTGTTAGATGACTTCAAGATCACAGTGTCTTGAGCAATCTTACCTTTACATTGGGAGAAGTAGAATCAAGCTTGTCCAATAAGGCGGGGATAGCGTGGGGTGCAAAATGCCTTGTGGAAGAGATACATTCTTGAAGACGACCCTTCAGATCCTGTGCAGTGATTCCATAGGGATCGTTGGGTGGGGGTCGGAAGGTAATTGGGAAGTAGCTGTAAACCGAGTCGAAGAGGGTCTGTCTAGTGTCAGCGGAATCCAGCATCCACTACCTTCGGAAATTACACATACTTCAACGTGGTTCGAGATGTCCCATTCGACCATAACGACTTTCAGGATCGAGAAAACAATCATCAAATTCCTAGGGTCTTTCTCTCCCGTCATGATATCAACAACGCCCAGAAGCGAGATATCTCCCATATCACGCATAGCTCCACGGTGGTTTGACATCAAATCATTAAGCAATTGATAGACGTGGAACCGTTGTGTTTGAGACCGGGATTGGAGATCTTGAAAGTTGGAGAAAAGCCTATATCAATAAATCAGCACTGGAACATCATCGAGTTAAGCTTTATCCCCGGTGAACACAGGGATGTCGCATGCAACCAAAAGGTATAGCACCTACGCTTGTGCTACTTGAGTAGCCAAAAACTTGTTAAACCGGTCCAGACCCTGCAGGGCCTGTAACCCATCAACAGCACCTCCATCCTCAATCCTATCACAGAAGAATGTAGTTAAAACTTGGATCTGTTGTCTCGAGAGGTATTTCGGCGATAGAGCTTGGATAATGGCCGTAAGATAAGAAATCGCCTTTCCACGTAAAATCGGGTCTTCGTCGTTAATATATTCACCGAGAGATTGGACGGTATCAATCAGAGTCGTCTTTTTAGTCTCAACATCTATATTCACTCCCGTTAGTAATGCAACGATTTGAAGTGGTCTCAGGTGCGGGGCGAATTGGCATACCATGCGCGATTCCCTCCGCAATGCGCTTGGCTTCTTCTTTATCGTGGTCCACGACCAGCATAAAGGTCTGCAGAGCCGACATGATACCAATCGAATCAATTAGGAGCACCGGACGTGTAGATTGCGGGGGCAAGACCAAGATCGCATCGGCCAATTTCTTGTGGCCGGATGCCCTTATCGATAAGGGTCAGGTGATTCTGTTATCTCTCTCTTTACATCACGTGTCACGGCCTGTTGCGTCATGGATGTAGTGAGACCTGCTTCCCTGTCCGGTGTCATTGGCAGCAAGATGGCTCCAACCCGCAACATGGGACTTAATCGACTAACAACAACTATTCTATTTACATTTCTTCTCGCTAGCTCAACGTCTGCATTCTGGGGCCTATCATATCCCTTCCCCTCCCGTCAACAGCCACTAGCTGTCGAACACAAAGAGCATCGATCAATAATGGATAAGATACTTCCTGGTATTGTCCAGCCACAGAAGACGGCTCCCGACGAGGATTTGAGCTCAAAAGACAGCGGTAGCCCTATCATCTCAGATGTCCTGCCCAAGACCAAGGGCATCAATATCTTTGCACGGTTAACCCGTGACTTTGAGCCAGTCGCCAACCGCCTTAATGATGCATCCAAGAACATTACAGTTCTAGCACCACGCAATAGTGCAATTCAGGCTCTTCCGCGGAAGCCCTGGGAGAATCCAGAAGACTACAAGAAGTTCGGAGAGGTAAATGCATATGAGGGGCAGGATGGTCAAGATCGGGCAAAGCGGAATCTACAGCGATTCGTGGAGGCCCACCTCATCCCTGCTAGTCCCTGGAGAGTTGGGGAAGAGGTCGAGACGCTTGCAGGGGAGAAGTTGAAATGGACGAAGGAGGGCGATAAGATCTTTGTAGGTTTTATCCTCTGCAAGTCGTTGGTATCATAACTGACTGTCTATAGATCCAACCTGGCAATATTGAAGTTGATTCAATTGCGGAGAAGGTCCATAATGGGGAAGTCTGGATCTTGAATGATGTTATTAATTACCGTCAACAGTGATTGGTTATGAGTTTACTACGATTTATGGATATTGTGCAATATGAATCATTCAAGAACACTCGGGTAAATGATGTAGATCCACAAGATTGCGGCTTATTTAAAAACACGGCGCATTCTATTCTTTATGGCTATCCAAAGCCAGCGATGACCTCAAGACAGGTATATACACCAACACTGGACATCACATGCAATGTCAAAACGGAAATTAGATCCCCGTAGGAGCAAAGTTTTGCAGGATTCTCTCTTCCACCCCATCCAGAATGCAGAAGTGCTCCATCACTTCCAAGTTCTCCGCTTCGTTCAGATACAGCTTGTCGGGATCTTGGCCAGGCTGAAGCGGGTTGACCATTGCGGCTGGGTTAGCCATACCCATCTGCTGGGCCATTTGGTTGGCAGCTATAGATTATTAGTGACAGTTCTCATGGGCAAGGTCAGGTAGATTCATACCGTTATCACTGCCGAGGATGAATCCAAAAACGGACTGAAGGCCCATCAAGTTGAGGAAGTACCACGAAAGACTGGAGACCCATTGCACATCAAGGTCGCGAGTCATGACACCAGACTGCAGCATCGACTTGAAGCGGATGGTAAGAGGGAAGGGCAATTTCACTGTAATATCTGTAAGCTCGTTGCTCGTGTCCATTTATATCAAAATGCAACATACGGATGACAAAGCCAGAGAAGAAAGCATTGATCCAGCTCATGATCAAGGTTTGCGGGATCATCATCATCATGTTTCCCTTAAGCATTCCCATCATAGCTTCCATACCCGCGGGGTCAGTCATGGGATTCGCGGGGGGTTGGCCACGGTTGTTGGGGTCCTTCAGAAATGCGCCGTTGCGGAATCCAGTAACCATGTAGTTCTTGCGCATCTCGAAGGACTCGCGGTCGAGTACGGAGCAGGCATTGTTGCGGAGATTCACACCGCGGAGAAGAGCAAGGCGCTCGCGAGACTCGGCAAGAGTGGATGGCGATTTGGGGGGCGTGTTCATCAGGACCGTAGCATAGTGGCGAAGGATACCGGTCAGGATCTATTGAAGAAGAGGGGTTAGTTTCAGTTTCAAAGACATCGTAAATATTCAAGCTTCAGGCGCCGGGTGTAGTTCATACCATAACAATTGAAATGGGGAAGAGAATCCAATAGCTATAAGCAAATGGTCAGTCCAACTTCCGCTTGATCGAATCATGTTCTCTCACAATAGCGCCGGATCCCTAAGGATGGTCTGCTCAGCCCCTTGAATTGCCATATTAAGGCGGAATAAGAATCAAAGAAGTGACTTCTTTGAACCCAAACAATAAATCAGTGGTGGCTGCAGGTGGGGGATGGAAAGTTGAAGGGGCCGCGAACGAGAGGTTGCCAGGCGGAGAGGGATGTCATTGGCCCGCGTTAGCTCCAGCTTTCTCCAAAGGGCCACGCCGCATCTTTGTCCTGCGATAAACAACAGTCCTGTCTTGACCACTGAATGCTGAACCACGTTCGATCTTTTGGTTTTTAAACGGCTTTTTACTCGCATCTATTCTCAAATCTGTCATGGCTTCCACCAAGGTGCCGGTCTACTCGACCAATGGTCCGTAATCCCGATCTACTATATACAGCAACAACACTAACAGTTGAGTGATAGATCTCAAGTCTACGAGCGACGATGCTCTCCTTCCTTACCTCACCAATCTTCCCGCGCCATATGCTTTCACTCCGGATTACTCGAAGACAAACATTCGCTTCCTGCTTGGATATAGCGCTGTCGCAATCGCAGGGTTTACTTTCTACGCAGACCGTACGCTTGGTTGGGAAGCAACTACCTCGCCCTGGATTATCACGGCAGTAGGGACCTACTTTGTCTTGAACAGCATTCTGACATACTGGATTTGGGCTGTTGAGGCTGGCGAGGTATACTCCGGAAAGAGGAAGACTGGAGAGACGGTATGTCAATTGATCTTCAACTCTTTCGAGATTCTATTTTCTTAGCAGGTGACTAACAGACTTATTCATAGATATCTGTCTCATCATCAGCCAAAAAGTTCTCCAAGCTCTACAAGCTCCATGTCACATATAAGTCTGCCTCCGGAAAGGTTCTCCAGGACAAGCGGTGCGAAGCGCCCTTCACAACTTGGTTCTCAGCAGATGGTGTATTCCACCCCGAGCCTTTTCGTCGCTGGGTGGCCAGCGAGATTGATGTTTTGAGATTGGCGGCGAAGGAGAATGAAAAGAAGTCGGGCTAAAATGGAAGGTTACCTATCAATTACTACCAGCGGTTATGTTTTCGGGGCTATTACAAAATGCAAAGCTAGTTCAATCTCTAAAAGAGATTCAGAAGATTGCATTGGAGTTACATGTTCAAATGAGCAAAGGAGATATCAGTTTCCTGTGCTTTGGTTTCCATTTGGCTAGTTAATCAGACGCATCCCAACAGTGTACGTGACTATTTCAATATTGTCCGGCAGTGAAACCAATTTCATGTGCAATATCTACACTTCGCTCGATATGTGAGCAAACCTACTCTAGATTAGGGCCCTTTAGCTTGATCTATTAGAATAGGATGTCCTACCTAGGGCTATTGAGCTCACGTGGATCTTTACTTTTCTGGAAGGAGCCCTGGAGCTCGACTGCACTTTCCAGACTTGAAGAGTTCAAGCTGACTCGAACCTCCCAAGTTCAGAGTTTTGGGACTCAACAAGCTTGGAAGCCTAGGTTGAACTTGGAACAACTTTGTCTTTGATCTGCTCCTATCACATATCATCTTACTGCTCAACTGCTCTTAAGGTATATGGTTTTACTCTCAGTCAAGTCCATGCTGTCAAGACCTCTTCATATCTATCTCTTGCAGCCTTGAGGACCTCCAATATGGGGTGTAAATCATCTGTCTTCGTTCGACCTCAGGGTAAGCTCTCATCCTACAGAAACCCGTTGTATGAGTGAGTGGCCGAACTAACAACCCGAACATTTCAGTTCTCCCAGAAATAATAATATCCCTTGTCTGGGTTTCCCAACAGGAGATTGAAGCCCTCGTCAATGCCACCGACACGCTCGAGATCACACGACGGGAGCCAGGCATAACATGGGCCACAACACCAACAACGACATATGCAACAACCACGCTGCCCACTGATGATCACGAAGAAAAGGAAGCCGAGCCCACTGCTGAGCAAACCCGACAGGGTCAAATTTACCATATTCAAACAAAGGCACTTGACCGGCCGGTTAAATATACCAGTCAAATACGCCTCATGGTCCTGCCATTTGGGTTCCAATTCTTAGGGACCGAGGGCTACGATGTAGCACCCGGTCTCCAATTCGTGGCACGTCACGCTGTAGTCATTGCCTTGCCTCTCGTGCCTGTTCTTCCTCGAAGACTTCTCCGGGAGATCTACGTCCGTGAAGACACCGCAACGTCGGCGACAGAGTCACTGGGGCATGTGTTGGCTGGGGTGGATCGGTTTGCTTTTTGGGAGAGTAACTTGAAGGAACTCGTCCTCTGGTGGCTGTCCCTACTGAGACCCCACTGGTTTTTAGTTGCGTGTGCTTTGGTGCTTGTTCTCATGTTTATCCTGGTGATTATCTTGTCTTAACGGGCTTGTCCTTGAGAGCCATTGGCTGACTGGCTTGGCTCTTAGGGTGTGGTGTGCCTCAATGTCATTACCTTGAAGCGCTGGAAGCTTCAAAGTATGGAATTTTCTAATGTGGCAATTCGAAACTGCCAGAATGTTAGGTCCGTTTGTCTGTACAGCGGTGTTCTGTTCATGTCAAAGTGGACTTAATAGTTCTTTATGTGTTATAATGATTTGGCTGTTGTCAGTCCCAGTTGTTCTCGTGACAATTTGTTATTATATCAATATCATCATCCGACCCCAGCAGCGAGGTCTTCTATTGGAGTATTATGCAACATCAGGGTGCGTAAATAATAAGCTAAGTTAATACACAAGAAACAGTCTTTTGTTATGGAAGAATAGACAAGGTCAACAGAGCCAACCTCTGTAAGTTCCAGGTGTGGAATGCGACTGGGAGATATCTAAGCACAGGAAACAAAAGAAGAAACATGAAGTTTCAGAGTATAATCGAAATGGCTAATAACAAACAGAATATCTATAATTTTTTACGGAAAGGCCAGCTCAGGGCGTAGCCATCGAGATCAAAATTTCAATCAGTGGTGAGCAACCTATGATGATGCCTCAAGGGTGCCAGGACGTTCAGTGGCCTCGGCGGGCTTGACATCATCCAGTCGCTTGTTCTGGATGAGTCTCTGTAATTTGTTATGTTAGATGATGTTTCAAAGAACCACTGGGCATGTGAATAAAGTATAAAGACGAAACATACCAGCAAGTTCCGTAACAGAACAACAATGGTGACCTTTCCAATAGACGGAACGAAGAGCGAGGCCTTGTCTCGGACCTCGTGGGGGAAGTTCTATATCAAAACAGTCAGCAACCACAACCTCTTCACCAGACTCAAATGCGCAAAAGAAAACATACCTTCTCGCTAGAGAAGTTGACACAAACAGCACCCTCACGCAAAAGGCTAGTATCGAACTTGTACTTATCACTGGGCACACCAGTAATAACCACATCACAAAGCGGTACAACATCCTTCAAAGTCTTTCCCTCAAGATCAACAATTTCATGCATCTTCTTCTGCAATCCCTCACCACGAGTAAACTTCTGCACACCAGTAATATCAACTGAGTAAACACAAGCGCCATCATTAGCAAGCAGAGCAGCAAGCGGACGACCCACGACCTCAGAGCGGTTCACAACGCAGATCGTGTGTCCGAAGAGACGGTTTCCGTAAGGCAGGATGGTGTTGTAGATGTTGAGGTACTCGAGGATCTTGATGTTGGCCAGCGGGGTGCAGGGCAGGATGGACTTCTGGCGCTTGGCTTCGCCGTCCAGGAAACGGATGTTCTGGTACATGTTGAAGATGTAGCGGTGGCTCAGGCCCTCGACGTCTTTGGTTACGTCGACTATCTGCTGCAGGTACTGATCCTGACGGGTGCCGAAGATCGGGTAGTAGACGATTATGCCGTCGACGTTGTTGTCGGTGTTTGCGTTCAAGATGGCTTGTTCGATGTCGTCGCGGGACACTTGGCGCATGGAGTACTTGAAACCGCTGAGGAAGGCATTATGTTAGTAGGCTGTTTTAATTGGAGTGTTGGCTGTGCTTTTGGATCCGTTTGGTTGGCTTTTTCGGTATTTTGTGTTTTTTTTTTTTTTTTTGGCCGAGGGATATGTATGAATCATACTAATTACCCCCACCATTCAGCCCACCAAAGAAGCAATTGGAGCCATTGAAGCCGGGTAATGTCAAAATAATGTAGAAACTCACTTCTCCTCGCAGGTCTTCTGCGTCATCTGCGCATAGGTCATTGCGGCAGGGTCATTATTAGCCAATAGGCCGACCAAGTGAGGCGGCTTCTCCAGAGTCTTGAGGCCCTCGTGGACTTCAGTGAGGAGGTGGTTGGCAACGTTCTTGCTCAACATCACCTTGCAGGAGGAAGGGGGTTTATCGGTAGGCGCAGACATGACGGCAATAGGACGATAATAAAAATATAATCAGTATCAGAGAGAATGGTGAAGGTCCTCAGACGCGGGGGACTTTGTGATCTCCGGGAAAATCTTGATCGCTTATCGATAACAGATCGGATGCCGGTTTCGGCCTCTACTGCCGGGTCGTGTCTTTTAGATGGCATAGGGGTTATAGAATAGCCATGAGAATATAGATAGAACTAGGGCTTATAATCTTTGTTCTCAATCGATTGGCATGTATATAGACTCAAGTTTTTGTTCGGTTGAGGCATACCACTCGCCTCTTCATCTGACATGTGCGAATACATCCCTGGACAGTCGTGCAAAACAAATCTACAGTTACGTTCTACAATTACAGTATAAACGATTGAACAAATGAAAATAATTGCGGTCCAACATGGAGAGCATAAGGAGACCAGACGGAATTAGAACGGTCGTCCACCCATCTCGCGCCCCGATGCGCGGATAAAATCTAAACGTACAGGATATAATCACATTTTGGCAGACCAAAGTCATTTTAGTTCTCGCTCGAACAGCACTACGGGAAATCCTTGGTACGCCCCCCAGGATCATGCAGATAATTACATCGCTACATCCAGGGGCAGACTGGGATCTCCTGCCAGGCACCGGCACCAAGAAGAACAGAAAAACAATGGGCTCAAAATTGTACAGGCTATCTTGTCTATACACATAGAGTCAAGAAAACAAAGCCGACCACGAAGGATCATCCGAGTTATTTCTTCACTTATGCGTTGAAGGTGGAGTTGAAGGCGGAGATGGTCTTCTTGAGGGCAGCCTCAGTCTCCTTGGAGACCTGGCCCTCCTTCTCGATGGTGGCCTGGATCTCGGGGTGGCTGCTCTTGAGGTGAGCAAGGAGGTCAGACTCCCAGGTGAGGATCTTGTCGACGGGGATGGTGTCGAGGAGACCGTTAACACCAGCGAAGATCAGAGGAACCATGTCGGTAACGGCCATGGGGGAGTACTGCTTCTGCTTGAGGAGCTCGGTCAGACGCTCACCACGGGCAAGGGTCTGCTTGGTGGAGGCATCGAGATCGGAACCGAACTGGGCGAAGGCAGCGACCTCACGGTACTGAGCCAAGAACAGCTTGAGGGAACCGGCGACCTGCTTCATGGCCTTGACCTGGGCGGCGGAACCGACACGGGACACGGACAGACCGACGTTAATGGCGGGACGGATACCCTTGTAGAACAGCTCGGACTCCAAGAAGATCTGACCGTCAGTGATGGAAATGACGTTGGTGGGAATGTAAGCGGACACATCACCACCCTGGGTCTCAATGACGGGAAGGGCAGTCAAGGAACCAGCACCGTGGGTCTTGTTCATCTTGGCGGCACGCTCGAGGAGACGAGAGTGCAGGTAGAAAACGTCACCGGGGTAGGCCTCACGTCCGGGGGGACGACGGAGGAGCAGAGACATCTGACGGTAGGCAACGGCCTGCTTGGACAGATCATCGTAGATGATGACGGCGTGGCGGGCGTTGTCACGGAACCACTCACCCATGGCACAGCCAGTGAAGGGAGCAATGTACTGCAGGGGAGCGGCCTCAGAGGCAGTGGCAGCGATGATGACAGAGTACTTCATGGCGTCCTGCTCCTCAAGGGTCTTGACGAGCTGAGCGACGGTGGAACGCTTCTGACCAACGGCAACGTAGATACAGTAGAGCTTCTCCTCCTCGGTGGCGGTCTTGCTGTTGTTCCAACGCTTCTGGTTGAGCATGGTGTCGAGAGCGACAGCGGTCTTACCGGTCTGACGATCACCAATGATCAACTCACGCTGACCACGGCCAATGGGGACCATGGAGTCAACACACTTCATACCAGTCTGCACTGGCTGGTTGACGGACTGACGGGGCAGAATGCCGGGGGCCTTGAGCTGGGCACGGCGCTTCTCCTTGGTGTTAAGGGGACCCTTGCCATCGATGGGGTTACCGAGAGCATCGACGACACGGCCGAGCAGCTCGGGACCGACGGGAACCTCGACCTAGAGGTGGTGTTAGAAATTTTGCCAAGGGGCTGATGGATTCAGGGTCCAATATCAGAATGAACCCAGGGGTTGGATTGAAGTGCTTACAATCTCGCCGGTACGCTTGACGGTCTCACCCTCCTTGACGAGACGGTCGGAACCGAAAAGCACGACACCGACCTGGCCGGCCTCGAGGTTCATGCACATACCCTTAACGCCGGAAGCGAACCTGAAGATGAGTTAGTTTTCGGGTTTGGATAATGCCAAGACTTTGGGGTTTCACATACTCGACCAGCTCCTCAGCCTGGACGTTGGACATGCCGTGAACACGGGCGATACCATCACTATTTAAAGCTCAATTAGTTTCTGTATCGGTATTTTGTCGATTGTTGATAAACAATGGCGGATTCGATGAAATTGTAGCCGGGGACCGAATTTTTTTTCGCGCCCCCAGCCGGCTAGGGAGAATTGACGTACCCGACCGACAGAACACGACCGGTCTCAGCGAGACCAGCCTCCTCAGAGACACCACGGATGCGCTGCTCAAGGATGGAGGAGACCTCGGTAGGGGTAGCCTTGGCCTCGGAAGCGTACGAGCGAACGCCGTTGAGAGGACCGGCAGCAGCCGCGCGGACCTGTAATGGACGAAAAACCTGTTAATGACCATCCCAGAGAAGGACAATGTGTCCAAGCCATTGTTGAAGTATCGTTGTCGAGGTATGATGAGGTATGAGCATCGATCGAGCTCAAGATTGAGATGAAGGATGTCGAACTGGCGATGGACGAAGGCGGCTGGGATGGGTTAGACTCACCGAGGCGATGCGGCCAGTGGCCGAAACGGCCGCAACGGAGCGGCTGGACGACCGCAGAGCGTTTCTGAACATTGTGAAAGGGGGTTCAGAGGATGGGAGGATGAATTCTCTGAGGGAGAGATGTAATTGGGGAGAGAGAACGGGAGAGGAGAGAGGATTGTGGACGGGAGGGAGAGCTTTGTCGTCGGGGGGAGGATTGGATTCTCAGGACTCGCGCTAAACCGTTTCGGACGCTGGGCCCTCCGAGGTGGCCCTAGTGAGAGGCCACGGTGTATGTTGTTACACTTTTATTATTACTACAATGCTATATTTTGATTTTATTTATTTCTATATTTTAATTTCTATGGATTCTCCAAATTTTTCAAATATTCTACAAGGTCATAATGAGTTACTTCCATTGACATTGCCGACCGGAAGAGTGTGCCACGGGCCACTGCCCTTCCGTTTTTTTCTTTCTCGGATCGGCGGAATTCCTGGTCAGGTGAATCGCTTATGTCATGGTTTTCGTCACGGCAACCGAAGACGGGTGCATGTTTTGTTATAGCTCTGGTTATGTTATTATTATTTTCTTATTTCCATGTCTTTATACTTGCTCGTATGATACTACCATACCAATACAATCATACATCAGCCAAAACATTAACACCTATTCCACGGGAAAGGGATAAGTACATCCCAAATTGGCCAAAAGGCAATGCAAAATAACACTCGCAAAAGGATAGGAGGGGGAAAAAAAAAAAAAAAACAAAAAAGGACACAAGCAATCGCTTTGCTAATAACAGAAATATGAATCAACGCGCTCATGAAGCTACTAAAGCTTTCAACATCAAATCGAGAACAACATAGAGCACCCGGTCTTGGCGAACAATATCTCCCCTTACTGCATGCTGTACGCATAAGTCAGCAGCTATTGGGCCGCCTTACCCTTCCCCCTTGCCATTCCCATTCCCCTCCTTCCGGAACTTAAGAATCTCCAGCTCAACGCCCTTCTCAAACCGCTTCTTAAGCTCCGAGCGATATCCGAAGAAGAACAGAACCTCCATCCAGACAAATAGCGGCGCAAGCAGTAAAGCCTGGACAAGATTATCCAACAAGGCAGGGGCTCGCTTCTCAAACACGCCGTGTCCGATAAACTGCGCCAACCATGACACGATGTGGATGCCACCAGCCCAGTAGTTCACGATGCTGCCGTGTGTGCTGAGGAAGTAGTTTCCGTAGTATGCAGATGTGATCACGGCAGGTGCGAGTAGGCCGCCAGCTATGGGCTCTAGGAGGACATAAAATGTGGCGTAGATGAGGGCGCCGATTGTTCCGGCATTTGCCGGCAGATATTCGATTTGGATGGCGTCCGGGAGGGTAAAGAAGGGCGGGCAGTTGCAGGCCTTGGGAATCGCTGTTAGTGCCTTTGTACACTGCGGTTATCTTATTTAGTTGGGAGGAAAAGCCGAGTATTACGTACGAGGACGATGCCGGTAAACAGTAGGATAGGGACGCAAGTGATGTGGATTGCGACGTTGACCTGCGCTGTTAGTAAGTGTGCGCTATTGGCGATGGGGATAAGGCCGCTGTACGGGATTGCTATGGTAGGCTCCGTACTAGTTCTCAGTCAGCTATCGTCGTTCCGGTGGTTCCAAGGTTGGATATGGATGCTTACGAAGAGCAACTGTTTCTCAAGATTAAGCGCCATCTTGCCGGGTATTCCGGGTAGGAAACAAAAAGATGGGGAATTCTGGGGGATATTTTTGCGGGGGATGAGATCAGGCAAGTGGCATCATCTTTTTAGCGGGAAATGTTGAGTGGTGCAATTGATATTCAAGTTACTGGCCCTGGCGTCATGTGGTCGCCGAAGACGTTGGGTCTTGGCAGCGTAACGGCATATACCGGCTCCAGGCGTGGCAACCACCATTCACAGGCTTATCGGACGATCTACATTATAGCTTTATTAGGAGACCTGTGCTGCGATTAATGGATTATCTACATATATACTTACGATTAAGGACCTCTCCCATGTCTCATTAAACCGATCGTTGACTATACAATATTGTAATGTCTACATACCTATGTAGGTAGTATAGAATGTTCCGATGAGGCTTTGGACTCTATTTTCCCTACAGTTTCAGGTGTTTTTCTCTGGGATCTTTGGAATTGTGGGATGAAGTTCTATTGAGGTCCTCCAAATCGTCAATTTACAACTCGGTTGCGATGTGAATATCGAAATCGAAGATACCAGCAGGTGGATATATATAGCTTCAGGGTATACATTCAACTGGAAGCTGAAACACAATAATCCGTCAAAACCAACCGAACAAGGGTATATATGGCTTAAAATGGGAGTATAAGGTACACCAAACGCCCAAACTCGGCAAAGTTCATTATTTACTTCTATACATGTTGTCAAACATTTATGGTCTGCTATAGGTCATCCAAACATTCTTCATATAAGAAGCAATCCTCCACCCAGTTAAGGATATAGTATTGTTAAGCGTACTACTGACTACCTATTTCAGAAAGTAACGTATCAAATGAAAAACGAAGTTTCAAAGACTTGAAACGTGCAAATATCAAATCAACTTCCCACCGATCAAGAATCATACCACGTGACTCCACCCAACCAAACTTGGCCCACTAGACCGGAGATGCTCTTACGAAGGGAAAGCTTGCGCCTGCAGCAACTGTATCTGCCTACTCGTTCAAGATCCAAGGCAGATACAATTTCTGCCACTCCCACGGCTACTCGGGTCTCATTTCGCTCATTCCTGGCAGTCACATTTTGTTTGTGCTTTTTCCGTTGCAGGTCATGAGCGCGTGGTCGAAAACGCCGTCCCTCGACCTCGATTGACAGCATCACTGTCCCCGAAAGCGACTTGAATCTTTCCACTCCGCACTTCGGCATTAGCGCATTTTTATCCAACCATAACCGCGACGATGTTTTTCCTCAAAGAAGAGACCAAGGTGATCTCGATGCACCCGTCCTATTTCGGACCCAACATGCGAGAGTACCTCATCGGTCGGCTCAACGAGGAGGAAGAGGGACGGTGTACAGGTGATCACTTTGTGATCTGTGTCATGGACATGGTTGATATTGGCGAAGGGCGGGTGATGCCTGGAATCGGACAGGCGGAATACACCATCAGATATCGTGCGATCATCTGGAAGCCGTTCCGTGGCGAGACGGTATGCGCTTGGGATCCGAGGCTGTCGCCTTAGAGAATTCTTGCTGACTGAGCTTAGGTCGATGCCATTGTTACCTCCGTTAAGCCCACGGGTATCTTCACCCTGGCGGGCCCATTGTCTGTCTTCATTGCGCGAAAGGTATTGTTTTTGTTTGCTCTGACCTGGGACCTCTGAGTTTCACTACTGACAACCTACCAGAATATCCCCTCTGATATCAAGTGGGAGCCCAACACCGTGCCGCCGCAATACACTGATCACGCCGACCAAGTGATTGAGAAAGGAACTAGTCTGCGGTTGAAGATTCTCGGTGTCAAGCCCGACGTGGCTGCTATCAATGCCATTGGCACCATCAAGGAGGATTATCTTGGGTAAGTCATTTGCACCACGTCTAGTCCATATGTTGCTTCTAACACGGTTTTCTTTAACAGACCTTTGTAATGAGACACGATTGCAACACATACCCACCCTTTTCACCAATACGATAATCTACCATGCTATCTACCGATCCCCGAAGATAAGGCGAGTGCTTGGATGGCTTTACTGCCTCACAAGGGAAAGAAGAATTGGCCGGTCAGGAGCTGGAGTTTGACAAGTCCCTACTCGGTACACACGCCATACTTTTTGACTTGAATGGCTATACTTGAATGAAAGACCGATCATGTCTTCTACCGGAGAGTGTCCGATTTGGATCGGCATTGCAGCTGAAGTGACTTCCGACCCACCAGAGATCGTGTCAACCGCTTGAGGGGCATTTGATTTCTCTGAAATGTACAATTGCATTAAGTTGCATGTCTAAACCCTATGCAATCCATACCCCCTGTAGAGGCTTAGACCTTTAAAGTGTATTCTCCAGATTCTCCAGTTGCCGGAGAGATGAGCCAAGCCCCAAGCCTAGGCCCCGTTATGGTGAAACACTGGCGTGTTTTCAGATGATTTCAGGGATGTTTTCTATTTGCAATTTCTATGCATTTTCTATGCATTTCCCACTTTTCAGTATTATCTAACATTGGAATATGTATGCAAGGTACCGAGGACTGACTAACTCGTTCTAGCGTTTCCCCTGTGATATTATTTTGGTCGTTGTACTCCCGCACTTGGGCCTCGTAGAACAAACCGCTTCGTCTTCCTCTTCTTCTTTCTCTTTCTCTTTCTCTTCTTAATTGAAAAAAAAAAATTAGTTTCTTTGTAACTTCAATCTCGTCTAGCTTGATTCTAGAGTATTCTAGAGTAGCTATCTTCTCTGGAATATCTTTCTCCTTTCAACTCCCCCTGTCCTAGACGGTCGACAATGTCCTACTTCAAGACCGAATACCAGCGGTTCCTGGATAACCCCAGGTCTGCTAAATTGGCCGACGATGTGTCCATAATCTATGTTCCTACCACGACGAAGTTCGAGCAGGCCGACAATGTCATCACTCATGTGTTGAAGAACGCCAAGGTGGTCAAGACGAAATCGAACCAGGTCATTAGCGCCATTGAGGGATCGGACTCGCTATGTCTAGACATGGAAACAACCCTCGAATTCACTGAGGGTGGTGGGGTTTATCTCCCCTCGCTCGATGATAATTTCCTGGCCGACCGTGTCGCGACCTTCCCCACGGTAAATTCCCCGACGCGCGTCGCGTTATCGAAAGCTAATGCATCATCCTGCAGGTTCACATTGTCCACTTCGACGCGGATAAACTGATCAAGCAGATCCGCATTTACTGGGATCAAGCCTCATTGCTGAAGCAAGTCGAGGTTATTGGAGCGCGCGGACGCCAATGGCCCATTCGTGAAGGAAAAGATCAACTCCGTCTCCTCAAAACCGCCGAGACAGCGCGTTTGGCACCCTCGCAGCCTGCTTCTCAGAACTCGGAGATCAAGCTCCCCAATCGCTCATCATCCCCAGGCAAGCGCCGCATCAGAGATCCCTACGCAGCTGACTCCCTGACCGAGCTCCTCTCGCCAAGCAAGGAGACACCCAAACCTGCATCTAGCAAGAAATACACTCAAGACCCTTACGGAGCGGGTTCCTTGAATGAGATTCTGTCTCCCACCAAGAAGGCCCCCGCCCATGTGCCTCCCTTTGCGCCCTCGTCTGGGCGACCTGCCACGCGCAACTTCAGCGATATCTTCGTGAAGGATGACCATCTACCTGACTCCCCCTCGAAGCCCCAGCGCCGGGCTCTCCCGGTCGACGAAGAGGACGAAAAGGTCGCCCAAGGGCCTGTCGACGAAGCCCGTCATTTCTACAAAACCGACCCCAGAAAATACAGCCACTTTGAGATCGGCGAAGAAAATGCCGGCAGTAAAGGGCCCGTCGACGAAGACCGTCATTTCTACAAAACCGCCCCTGGAAAATACAACCACTTCGAGATTGGCGGCGACAACTCGGAGCGCGAGACAAAGGGAGAAGTCAGACAGGCCAACACCAAGCACGCAACCCACTGGGACTTCGACGACGTCGAGACCCCCGTGAAGGTCTCACGCGCTCCACGTGGACAAGAACGCCGCCACTTTGGCTTCGGCGATAACGAAGATGGCGACGGGTCTCCCCAAGGCAAGCCAAATGTGGCCAAGCCCCGCCGCGACGCAGACCGTCACTTCGAGTTGACTGATGAAGAACCCGAGGACGACGGACGGATCATCAGCTCATTCGGCGGCCGCGGAAAGCGTCTCTACGAGAACCGTCTTTTCGACGACGAGGGCCAGCCCCAGATCTCCGACAAGGAGAACAAGCCTATCCAGAAGCATGAAGCGCACAATAAGATGATGGAGTCACACTGGGATAACTATGACGAGCAGTCTCCCGAGCCTGTTAGGAGAAATGCCACCGCGCAGCGCAACCCTCTCGGCCACAACCAGCCCAGCTGGAACCATGGAGAGAACTAAGTGAGCCTGCCCTGGTCTAGGGCTTAGCTTTGATACCACATGTGTATCTCTTGTCAGCGGAGAAGTTATCTCAGCTCCGTCTCCCCGTTATACGACAAGCAACGGCCGACTCCGATCACGAGCTATGTATCGATACCCGCATGAATTTTGGACATTGTCCTTGAAACTGCAAAATCACAGAAAAAACAAAAAAATTTAAGAGGCCGATGGCTTTCCCCTTACTTCGCGCTTGGAACTTGCAGTTGGAGTCGAGTGTGAAATGCCTGGTCTGCGTGTACTACCTTCAACCCTTTGCCTTCTTGTCTATCTTCTTTTGCCTTTCTTTTTTTTACCTTTTTGTACCTTGCCCACAAAGTGTCACTAGTGTACAAGTTTATTTCCACGAGAGCGGGATTCGTTTTATCTGTTAATTTATAGTGTTTTACTTTGATTCCTCCAGCTGATTCATAAACCCCCTTTTATTTGAACTAGCATATAATAGCATAGTACACGTCTACTAAGTGATCATAGATGTCGTCATTTGAAGATTCAATTCAGTCTCATAGCTAAGTTACCCAAGCAGTAAACTAGATGGCAATCTTCGATGTCCAAATATCGAAGCTGACCGAGACAAAATATCCCAAACGACCTTTTCCAAAGACCAAGGCTGAGCGAGCGAATGTAAGTAGGTTGTCCAGTTCCAAAATGTGATATCCCTCATTCCCCCAGCAAATTGTTTCAATTCCAATTCCACTTCCACCACCAAATAAATTCATTCCAAATCATGTAGATTCCAAATAGATTCCGAAAAGATACGCAAACGCGCATAATATATATCCAATAGATGTCAAATTACAAATTCAACAACCTAGATGTAGAACATAGTCTCCGCAATATTAGGATGGATCTTGACATCCACCATACGGGACATATCCGCCGTGCCCTCAGTGCCACTGGTACTACCACCAGAAGGATCAAGCGACATGGGGTCGAATAGATCACTCAAGAAGCATCGAGCACGTGTACAAACCAGATCCGCATAGTACGCCGGCGGACAGACACTAACCGCCTTCGTAGCACGACCGAACATGTAACACATCTTGTGAGTGAGGTCTTGGAGGACATCAGCCGCGCCGGGGCCGGGGCTGCTAGCCGGGTGACGGGGGTAGAAGACCTCGTCCCAGACGGTGAAGTAGTGCGCCGGACGGGCAGTACCCTGGAGAGCGGAGTGAGCCTGTAGGAAGAAGTCCCAGTCTCGGGCCTCAGAGACGCCGCGGTCGACGACGGTTCCGGGGATTGGGTTCTCGCGGTTCGAGTCCTGTTCTGTTGTTGGGTAGAAGCGGGTGTTGTGGCGCTTTCCGACGACGACGATGGCCAGACGCGGGAGGCCTTTCTTGGTCTGGTCTGCGGGGTAGGTTTTCTTGCATGCTTCTTGAAGGAGGGGGAGTTCCTCGTCGATGACTTTGTTGTATTGGCCCTCTGAGACGCCGTCGCGGTAGACGATGATGTTCTCCGGGAGGGATCTGTTTAGTTTTCGCCAGTGCTGGAGACGGGAGGCGAGGAGGGTTTCTAGGTCGGCGACCATTTCTTGGCGGGCGCCTTGGACGCGGATCTCGGCGGGCCATTGGGCGAGGGTTGCGTCGACGGAGGCGACAATACCTGCCACGCTGGGGGCTGTGCTAGCGGAGCCTGGGGACGGGTGGGTTACGTCGATGCCGACTAGCATTGTCTTGCCTTCGGAGATTATGCCGAGGTCGGCGGTGCGCAGGGCTTGGTTGGCACCACCTAATTTGAGGTTGATTTTCAGGCCGACATTGGCGTTGTACTGGTCGTTGGAGTTGACGAGCTTTTCTGCGAGGACGTTCACGTTGCGGATTCCGCAGCGGACGTCGCAGACTTGCTTGACGCAGTTGTAGATGCCAGTGTCTTTAGTGTAGAGGATACCCAGGATGAAGACTGGGTTGTGCTGTTTTTGCAGATCGAGGACGGCTTGCTGGAGATTGTTGGCGTCGTCCTTGCCGGTCAGAACAACACGTTTTCCGGGCTTGTGGGCGTCCACGGCCATTCCCATATCCCTGAGTGTCTTTCTGAAACTTTGCAGAGACTTGTCAAGCTGCTCTGGGCTTTGGAAAACTGGGCGGGAGCCCGCATGATCAATGTAGACATAAGTCCAGGATTTCATGACCGCAGGCTTGGAGAACTGAATTTGGCGCATGTTCCAGCTGCCAAATTGAGTTCTGATTTCCTTGGTCTTGTTCCCGTCTTTGTAGTAGACATTTGGGGCGGGGAGAACACGCCCAGGGACGGTGATCAACTCAGTGGAAGAGTTAACACTGAAAGCAGACTGCAAAAAGAGGGTTAGATATCTTGACAAGGTCTTCAGAGCGAGGTAATTCTTACTAGAGTGGCATTCAGGGACTCGCCAAGTCCCAGCACACCCACGCCCTTGGTAACAATCGACTGGGCGTTCTGACCCGGCTTTCGACCCATGACGGCGAAGCGGAGCATACTGGCGGTCTGATCGCCAGAAAGCTTGGATTTAGCTGGCTGGCCAGGCTCGACTTCACAGACCTCAACTGGGACATAGACAGGTCTGTCACGAGACCCGACATTCACCACTGGGTTGTTTGCATTCAAAGTCATGTTGTATTCTAATGGGAAAGTCAGCATGTCACGAGGAGGAAGGGAGTCGAAGAAAAGATGAAGGAAAAGTGAAGATCAACAGACCCTTTTTGAAGAAGTCCGCAACGGTGATGTAGCGACCTGCTTCCGCAGGACCGGCCCTGGGCGCTTTCTTTCCCTTCTTAGCCTTGGACTCGGGCGCACTGCGCACAGCGACGGGTTGAGGGCTAGATTCGGCTAGGAAAAATTGCACATCTTGGGGACCAGCGCCGTGGGAGTTAATCTTAGGTGGGTTGGGCGACGAGCCACCATCACCGCGGCTGGCAAAGCCATAGATAGGCCTGATGCGAGGCCGGGGCTGGCCGCGACTGTTTTTGCGGGTGATATGGGTGATGCGAACGCGTAGGCTCTTGAGGAACTTCTCCAAACGATAAATGTTCCTGCTGTTGTAGCCTTGGATCACATTGGCCAACGGTCCTTCATTATAACAGGCCAGATATTTGACCTGGACGTTCAAGAGCACACGAGCAGTCGCGGCACGCACACTGACGAAGAATCCACGCAGGACAGATAGGCCACCGCCAAGGTTGAATGATTCCATAGTATCCTGACGTAGACTGTAATGTCTGTTGGCTCCGACAGAGACGACCTGGTCGTCCGTCTTGGGGGTGGTGGCCCATGATCATGTTAAGAGCAGCCACAATCTCAGACTTGGATTCAAGCATGGCACCGGCGTTGGTGGAGGTCAGGTAGTTAACCAAGTCGGCAGGATTGACCTCACCAGTATACTGGCAGGTAACCTGGTGCACCCGGGGAGGATCAATGTAGTCATCATCCACGTGCTCTTTGTATCGCACATCGAACTTCCCCTCGGTCAATTTGACACACGAGACTAGGGTAGACCGGAAGTCCGACGCAATACTGTTCTTCTGCTGAGGGAAGTGCTCCTCCAACAGCAGACGCACAATGTGTCGGGCCTTCTTGCCCACAGGGGCAGATCGGCCTGCAGAGTCGGCCGCAATGGAAATATGATAGCGGAACAGCTGCTTGTTAGGCAGGGTCAGCGGCAGGTAGTTTGCATACAAAGTCACTGGCCTGCCAGCTGTGCCGTAACCAGGACGTTCGGGATATTTTGCCTGCCTGGGAGTCTTCTGGCCGCTCACAGTAAGGGCTTTGGCAAGGTCATTTTCGGTCTTGGTGACGGTGGCATTAGGAGGTGGGATAGGTTCGCCTTGTCTATAGGCAAACAATTAGATTTGTTCAATGAGTAGCCAAGAGTGAGAGGCAAACCTGAAGATAGGCGGGCCAAAGTTGGTAGCACCACCACGTCCTCCACGGCCGCCGCGGAAATCACCACGACCACGAAAATCACCACGACCGCGGAAATCACCACCTCGGCCACGACCTCGATCACCTCCTCTAAAGTCGCCACGACCCCTATCACCACCTCGGCCTCGGAAATCACCTCGGAAATCTCCACGATTTCCATCGCCTCTACCGGCTGGGCGGAAGGCTAAATCGCCGCGACTTTCCCCGCGACCGCGACCTCGATCGGCACCCCGACCTCGATCACCCCGACCTCGATCACCACGGCCACGATCACCACGGCCACGATCACCACGTCCACGACCCCGATTGTCACTCATAATAAGGTAATGGATAAAGATGGCAATATGGGTTTGAAGATGTTAAAAATAAAAAAAAAGGAAGAAAGTGGAGAATGGGGGAATAGGGAATGGGCGGCTTATTATTATGGAGTGATGTATTGTTTGTTCTTTATTTGCTGCGCTGGCAGCTAACAGGTATATAGGAAGACCAGGGTGACAATTGGCTAATTTATTACTTTCACCACCTGGAATTCCGTTTACCTCTATTGCACATCGAATGTAAATAGTTGTACAAGCTCGTTTCTAGCTGGTATAAATGACGTGACTATGACACTTCACCCGTTTCCCCATAGTGATTCTCTACTATCATCTACTTAGTATATATGTAGTACAATATCAGGATGTGTCATGTATTTATTTATTGACACAGCAATAAGGTCATTTTTCGTATCATTTTTCTACTGTTTTTTAAAGAAAAACAAAGCACGAAACCTAGCTCTATACCCGTTGCTGTTTGTAGTCCCTGCGGTCGACCGGTAGATACATGCAAGGATATGATAGCGGTGTAGTTTTAGTTTATTTCGGTGAAAGGAAAAGTAAGACTGTGTTTCCCTAATTATGAATATTTCCGTTGGCTGCTATAGCTCTACGAGATATGAGTTGTGTGCAATAATATCCAATGATTTAATCCTGCAGTTCAGTCTTGCCCTAAGAATGTCAATTCCATGTTGCAGCCTAAATGTTGGTGTTGGTTGGTGTTGGTTGGTGTTGGTTGGTGTTTGGGTTGTATTCGATATTACATGTTATTACAATTTATAGGATGCCATATGTAGTTACCAGTGCCTCCCAGCCACATGCTCTTTGTTAATATCAGAAGCGTAATGCTCCTTAGGGCCATAATTTAAGAGGAAAGAAGCCATATCTATAGATAGTGCATGACACGTTGAAAATCTTCAAACAGGACGACAAGATGTCCACATATTTGAATATTAGTCCTTCGTAGTTTTCCTCTCTTCAATCCAGCACTTGTACAATGACCGGAGCTCTGGTATAAGAGTTGGGAATAGGATTGGTGTGAAATGGGTCTCAGGCGCTTGTGGAAATTGCGGTGAGATAATACTATACTTCCTTAGCGATATGCATTGAATTTACTGAAACATACGTAGATCCTTGTCAAAAGCAACCGGGGACCCTTTGCTTTAATTAGGTGTCCGGATATTACACTCCTGGTACTTTAACAATATATCCTGGGTCTTGCAAATTACGTGACTAGAATCCCAGACGAAGTAGAGTCTGCTCAAGTCGCGCCTCTACTTTGTGCAGGACTTATTGTCTATTCCGCTCTTAAGCGCAGCATGACCGTACCTGGCCAGTGGGTTGTCATTTCTGGCACAGAGGATGGACTGGGACACCTGGCAGTTCAATTTGCCAGCAAGAGGATAGGGTTACGTCTCATCGGCATTGACCAAGGGCAAAAAGCCGAATTGGCCAAGAACTCAGGTGCCAACCATTTTGTAGATATTTCCAAGCTTCCTACCGACGAGGACTGTATGGATTTGTCAATTCTCTAACTGGACGACTTGGGGCTCACACTGTCATTGTCTGTACCGCGGCCAATAGTGCCCACAGTCAAGGGGTTCAATTTCTAAGATTCGGCAGCACTCTGGTTTGGGTTGGGCTCCCAGCAGGTGAACAAAAGCCGATCGCTAGCGCCACTCCTGGGGGTTTGATAGCGAAACAATTGAAAATTATGGAGTCGGCTGTTGGCAACCGTATTGTGCCGAGGAGGTGTTGTAGTTCGCTGCTCGGGGAGTCGTTCAGGCCCACATACAGACGGTGCTAACGGAGGGGCTTTCGCAAATTTTCCAGGATATGAAGGTAGTAAGTTTGCTTGGGAGTGTAGTTATCGACATCGCTTGAAGCGTCTCCTGTCTTTATTGAGACTAAGCACTTTGTACATCTGTAACCCTGTACTGGAGTTGACTACATAGAATTATGATCCAACATATTAATCTAACTAGGATATTTATTCGTGCTAAAAACGGTTTATGCTGCTACTCTAGGTAGCCACCTACCTAGAACTTATGCTCAAGGGCGTGAAAAGCCTGTTCATTGAGAAGGATGTGGGATACACGAGAAATTGCATTCGGTAATGTAAAAATACATAAAACCTTCCGTGCTTCAATACTTGAGATAGAGAATGACCAATGCTAAATTATACTTTAATCTGTCTTGGGGTAAAAATCGTCTCGAAATTGTGTTGGCGTACAAACCATGCATTCCACAGTTTCCATTCTTGGCCAGGATGTGCCAATTGTACCTATCAAAAGTAAGTTAGCATCAGTAATATCTGCCCTGTGTAGAAAAAAGAGAAAATACCTCAAACCTCCGTAAAAAACTGGGTATAATCTTATAAATCTCCATTAGAGAAATATTCTTCCCAATGCAGGTCCTCGAACCGGCACCGAACTGGAGCATCATTCCATCCATAGCCTTTATTTGATCCGGCGGCGCAGTAAGCCATCTATCCGGGTTGTATAAGTCGGCGTCTGAACCAAAGATGTCTTGACGACGGTGAATAACCCAGGGGCTGCAACCAACGATTGTTCCGCCAGGAATGAAATGACCGGAGATCTCCACCCCCGATACAGGAACAACACGTTCCAGCGGAAGTCCCGCAGCGGGATGCATACGGAAAGCTTCCTTTATACAGGCATCGAGATAGGGCAGCTGTCGCGACTCTGTCCATGAGACAAGTCCTGTTGGGCGGTTCACAATCGTACCGTTGTCCACGGCAGCATCCAGCTCTTGCTTAACCCGTGTCATGCACTCCGGGTTCTTAAGTAAGTAGTAGAACGCGGCTCCAATGCTGATGGCGGTTGTTTCAGACCCGGCAAAGGCCATAGAGACGGTCATGGTAAGGATTCGTTTGTTTGTCATGAAATCTGGACGGGCTTCACCGGCCTTGAGGAACTTCGTGAGAAGGTCATCCTTTGATCCCGTTACATCAACTTTTGCTGACATACGTTCTTCCATGCGGTGCTTTGCGAAGATAGCCACAGGATGAGAATTATCTGATAAGCCTAACTTTTGAAGAAGATCAAATATTGGATTCTTCCAAAATAGCTTATCTAGCCACGGCATTTGACCAATAGGGGCAGAATAATCGAAGATATTTGCCAGGGAACTGACGATTCCATCGATGTCTTCGTTTTTCTCGATAAATCCATGGCGTTTACTATACGTGATGCTTCCAATAACATCAAAGGCAAAGAATTGTAGCCACCGTGCGAAATCACACACCGTGGATCCATCAGCGAACAGTCGGCTTGTTTGATCGAGGAAAATTTCCGTAGTCTCATCGACAATGGGCTCATACTGTACCAATGAGCTCATTGAGAACGCATGGTTGACAGAACGCCGGAGATTCGCATGGAATGTCTCATCTAGCGTAGAGAATAGTGATGGCAATGGCTCGCCTTTAGAAACGGTCATTTGTACTGGGTAAAATTCAGACTGGCACCTCAATTAGAAGCTGTGCATATTGCAGGGATCGGGATATCACTACCTTGGTGAATCCTTTGTTTAGACCGTAGATCACTTTCGTTGCCTTTGGGTCCGCGAAGGACAAAGTGCGTGGTCCCAGGCGCACGATATCACCATACCTGCGGTGTAAAGCTATGTGCGTAAGTTCAGGACGTCGACCCTTCACATCGATATATCGCCAAATATCAGTCAGGCGCGCCCAGAACGGGCCAGGAAAGATGTTTAGGGAATTGTAGAAATAATTGAGGGCAAGATAGAGTAGAAACAAGGGAGGGACTGCATAGACAGCATAGTAAAATGCAGCACCAGGAAAAGATATGATAATAGCCATAATTATGTCCGATCGCTTCGGTCTTGTACAACATAGGAACCATGAGGATGGCACGTTATATACACGATATCACACAATACACGTAATGTTCTTTCCCGCCAGAAGGAGATCATTATTTCAAAATTATTTGACGCATACAAAGATGCTGAGGTCGGCAGTTGTGCATGTCAGGATCCGATGGACGATAATGTAGGCATGTGAGGAGGTATCCCTAGGAAGCATTACCCCGTGCAAGTTTTCGATTCGTCAAAAACCGGAAGATGGATCCACTGGAACGTATTTGAGAAGATTCCCCCGTATTTAGTGGATGCGAATCATATCCCCAACTTTGCTTGTAGCCTGTGCATCGGCATTTAGGACGATATTCAACAACCGAGAATCCTTTGTAGCGCAATAGTCAACGCTATTCTGTATTAGGTTGAACTATATTTAAATACGATGTACTTTGAACTCTTATACGCAAAATATAAGACCTACATCATATCGGGATCATCTAAGCGATAACTGTATGTAGCAACGGAAGCCTTGGATAAACATAATCCGAAGTTTTCAACATCGTAGGCTCTATATAGCGAATCCAAATACAGTAGCTCAGCAATTTCAAATATACGGTCTTTTTCTACACCGAGTGGCGTTGAAATTTCAATGAAACATTTGATACTGGAAAATTATCAGACGTATAGGGGGAAATTTGCGAAATGTTTATATGGGGATTTGTATTGACCGCGAGTCTGGTGGCTGCATTAGTCTACCGCCACTATTTCCATCCACTGTTCCATATCTCCGGGCCCATAATAGTTATACCAACCCGTGCTTGGTAGAGCTGGCGTTGTCTGAAAGGACAATGGCATGAAGGCATTCTTCGACTACATGCACACTATGGGCCGGTGGTAGGCATCGCTTCAAATGCGGTATCTATGCTCGACGCCAATAATGGACTGCGGGCAATTTATGGCCATGACACTAAAGCGACGAAGGTGAGTATATCGCGTGCCGAATGAGTCTGAACCTGCAGAAGGCTAATTTTCTTTTTCGAATCCAGACCGACTGGTATCGGATTTGGAACAGCAGTGGGAAGGTAGCCAAAACTGCCTTTAGTGAGATGGATGTTAATGAGCATTCAATAAAGTGCAAACAAGTTGCGAAGGGCTATGCTATGATATTTATCCTCAGAATGAAAGACTGTATTCAAGCTGTGGTTGATTAGAGTAGAGAAACACCTGCAGAATCCGTCGCAGAGGCAAGAAAAGGCAAGACAGAGGCAGTCTTGGACATAGCCATTTACAGTCAAGCGTTTGCCTCCGATGTTCTGGGAGAAATCAGGTTTGGGGGTAGCTTTAATCTTTTGAAAACGAGAGGCGAGGGACCTCCAAAGACCATTGTTGAAGCGATCGATTTGAGCTTCCTGGTCGTGGCAAACTTGGGATACCTTCCTAGCAATCTTCGCAAGTTAAAGTCCAACGTGGTCAGGAAAATTTGCAAGTTAGCTAACATTGACTTGAGCAAGCTCCAACAGCTGTTCAAAGTGACGCAATATGCTGACAAGATTGTTCTGAAACGGAAACAAGAGAAAGCTTCACGCACCGATCCACTTCATCTGGAAGGTAACTCTTCATGATAGCTTGCATATCCCGTTCACTCAGATTGGAGAGAGGTGATAGAAGCTAAGCAAACAAGTATCGGCATGTCAATGTTGGGGTAACTCTGGTAATCGACAAGTGTGGGGTTGCGGGGAAACATCAATGGGAAACCATTCACGCTATACTATGACGACAACAACTTTGCATACAAAATAGCAACGTCAAATTTAATTAAGATTTATTGAATCATGATGTTGAGAAACCGACGATTGACCGTATGTACTTTACATGTGAACCCCTAACAGAAGATATATTTCTATTAAGCACTGCGAAGGGGTTCTCCGGAGCGATGGCGGGAAACACAATGGTAGTCAAGAGTAGCGACAAGGTGCCCTTAAATATGAGTTATAAATCGCTACTTGTCTACTTAGATATAGTGTTATATCTAATCAAATGCCAGTCCGCCGAAATTGCGAGTGGAAAAGGCCGGCTTACCCCGGGTATAATCAATATCATTTCGGGGCATGGTCAAATCTCAGGGAACATTCTATCCCATCACATGGATGTTCGTGCGTTGAGATTCATGGGATCAGGAATAACAGACGCTTGTTTCAGTCTGTTGCTACATCTAACATGAAGAACGTAATTTTGGAACTCGGTGGAAAATCCCCAGCAATTATCTTCTCTGATTCGGACATCGCAAAAGCGGTCGAAGAAACAAAAGATAGCGTACAATGGAACAGCGGTCAGGTTTGCATGGCGAACTCGAGAATCTATGCCCATGAATCGATTGCATCAACCTTTATCGAGTTATTCAACAAGCGATTTGCCGCCGTTGTAATTGGTAATCCGCTTCTACCCGACGACCCACGGGCCACCGGCAGATGAAGCACAATTCAAGCAGGTTCAGGCTTACATTGAAAGTGGAAAGAAATCTGGTAAGATGTCCTTGGGAACAGAGAAGATCGATCAGTATATTGTATTCTTTGTCCGACCCACCGTGATCCTGGAGACATAAGAGAATGCAAAAGTGATGAGGAGATATTTGACCTGTGGTTAATATCAACAGCTTCGTGGATGAAGACGACGTGGTTGCAAATGCGAACAATCCTGAGTTTGGGCTTTATGCTGCAGTCTATACTAAGGACATCAATCGTGCCATGAGAATAGCCACGAAGCTGGAGTCCGGAACCGTTAGATTTAACTGCACTAGCCCAACTACAGCTCACGATCTGCCATTTGGACGGTATAAGAGCAGTGGGCTGGGCCGGGAGGGATGGACTCCTAGTCTCAACAATTTCCTTGAGACAAAGTCCGTTCTGATAAAGGTTGACAATGCTTGAATTATGGTGATAATGCTATCGAGTATCATGTGAATATTTATTCGAAATTGCGAAGTACTTAAGGTTATTTTAAAAGAGAGCGATCCAAAGAATGAACAGTAAGAACTCTTTTTAAGCTTGAACTGGGAATACATACCCCTTACAAGCAAGTGCTATGCTGTTGAAGCCTGGTGACCGGTGGATGTAAGTGACGGATTGTACAACAGTAGATGGTACCCATGTTGTAGCCCATGCAAGCTACGCCTAATGTGACTCTAACGCCTAATCTAGACAGTTCTCCCCTTTTTTCTAAAAAAAGGTACGGGGTAGATGCGACGCCCAAGCGTTTGGATAGATCGACCTGCTACCCCTTGGGATTCGAAATATGTACTCCATACATGCATGTTTAATTGATTTGGGCCTATGAGTCACTGATCGTCGTATAGCTAGCCAATCGGCGTCAAGCCAAGGAAAAAAAGAAGTCTAGTATTGAAAATGAGAACCAACATGATGTTGGAGTTAAGGGCATATACTTGATCAGCCTTCGAGAGGAAGGAAGAATGCATCGCATCTAGCAGAAGGCAATAGACCATTTCAGAACATAAGGATATATGTACTGTCCACATATGTATATATATATATTAGCCATAATTTCCAATGTTGCGTTGTGTCTACTACCCCCCTAAGGGGAGATCATCTGGTGATAAGGAAAATCGGAGATAACGGATTAATCATCATTTCGTCGGGGACCTTTAGACCTTGTCCAGCTTCATTTTCTTATGATCATCTCTTTATTGTGATTGTTAACTCGAAAAAGAACCCTGATCGCGACTCTTAAATAAAAACCATCTCAATAGCCTTCCGAGTCTGGTTTTGGCCCCCGACCACGGCTTATCCACCCGCGCGGCATCTCCCACCCCTCCTTCACAAGCTTCAACAACGCACATCCGTTCATCGCATTGCCCCCGAAATTTGTCTAGGCGATACTGTGTGGCCTATATATCATCTCCGACCGCACAAAATAATCGCGAACAACATCAACAACATCTCAAGTCCTTGATCTGGCGCGGTTGCCTAGCGACACGAACCAAATCCTCTGGCCTCATCGTTGCGCCAGACTGTTCATACGTCGCTACGACTAAGGAAGGAATCAAAATTGCTTTTGGAATCCCGTGTAGATATTCAGGAGGATCCTACAATCGGACCGAAAGGTTGTTTTGATGAAATTGTAGAACAACTGAGTGGCACGTTTGATTCGGTCTCAGAGCTGTGCAGACTACGACAGCGTGTTTGAGAGCCCCGCCCGGCTGGACCGCTGACTTGAAGTGCACTGCATCATCTCTGCCTGTGTCCACGGGTGTTACCGAGGATATCGCGATCTGATCACCCACACATCATGCCATTCAAAATGACACCAACACCTCCTTCTACGAACTCCTCGAGTGCTGGCCACTCTCCAGATTACAGAGTCGTCCGGAAACGAAACCGGGTACCTTTGTCATGCGGGCCTTGTCGGCACAGAAAGTAAGCATTCAACAAGACGTGGTTGAAATCTATTTTTTTTTCTTTTTTCTAACGGTTCCAGGCTGAAATGCAATCGTACAAATCCTTGCGAAAACTGTGTCAAACGAGGAGATGCTGCTTCATGCAACTATGCACAACCCAACTCGCGCAAGAAGAACTCGACCCAGCAGGTTTCCAATACACCAGATGATATGCAAAACCGCATTGATCGGTTAGAAGGCTTGGTTCTTTCGTTGATGACAAACGGCTCTCAGTCTGCAGGCCCGGCTGCTGCCATGGCGGTACTCTCCGGGGAAAGTAGTGCGGGCTCGACTCGATTCTCCCATGACATCGATGCCGAAGAGGAGGGTATGGAGGGCGCCGAAGAGAGCGACACGGACCAGGTGACGAAGTCATTTGGTATCATGAAGATGGACAATAACAAGTCGTATTACATCAGCGATGCTCATTGGGCGTCTGTGTTGAATGATGTAAGTTTAGGAGGTTTGACCAAAACCGAGTCTTTCTAACCTGTCGAATAGATCTCCGAGGTGCGAAGTTTCTTCGCAACGCATAAGAAGCAAGTCGATGAGCAAGTTGAGAAAGTTAAAGCGGCCCGCCCAGCTATTGATACAACAGGAGCGAATTTGTTGTTTGGTATCAATAAGTCGATGAGCCGTGGGGAGATCATGAGTGGCTTGCCTTCTAAGTATACAACTGACATTCTTATTGCTCGCTATTTCAATTGCTATGATCCTGCAACACGTGAGTATTTGCTATTTCCATAACCCGTGATTCTATTCGATACTGACTTTATCTAGATGTTCTTCATGGGCCCACATTCCAAGCACAGGTAAGCTTGCCGAGAAAAAAGTTCATTGCATGTCCAGACTCTGACTCTGCTAGTATAATAAACATTGGGATGATCCCGCCGCAACCGAACTCGTCTGGATCGCCATGCTCTTCGGAATGATGAGATTGGCAATGCTATCTTACCACCGCGAAGGTGATGAGCCACCTGAATTCCGGGGCAAGTCTCTGGACATGGCTGGGGGATTCCGAAATTCTGTAGCACAATGCTTGACATTGGCTGACTACACAAAATCTCACCCGTATCTGATTGAAGCGTTCGTGTTTCATTTGCATGGCGATTTCTCTCAAACTCGAGAGGCGGACATTTCCATTTGGGTCATGACTGGCGTTGTTACTCGCCTGGCAATGCGATCAGGATACCATCGTGACTCCAAAATGTTCCCAAACATCACACCTTTCCAAGGTGAGATGCGACGGCGAGTGTGGACCTTTGTGCGCCAGGCCGACCTTCTGTTCTCATACCAGGTCGGACTGCCGGGGATGATCCGAGGCACGGAGACCGATACTGAACTACCACGGAATTTATACGATGATGATTTCGATGAAGACTGCAAGGAACTCCCGCCCCCTCGTCAGTTGAACGAGCCAACACCAATCTCGTATTTGATTGCCAAGGCCCGCCTGGCATATGTATTCGGCCATGTGGTTGATCAAAGCTCTGCTGTCTCGACAGCCCCATACGAAAAGGTGATGGAAATCGACGCGGAACTCCGACAAGCAAGGGACTTAATCCCTGACCACTTGCGTATTCGGCCTATGGAGGAGTGCCAGTTGGATCCTGTTAATCTGATCATGTCACGGTTTAGCGTAAGTTGCCTGAAACCCGCCACAACTTGCATCGATACTGACCGTTTTTGTAGGTAATGGCTGTATACAACAAAGCTCAGTGTGTGCTTCATCGCCCGTATGTGGTTCGCGCACGAGAAAATCCTCGTTTCACCTATTCTCGAAGGACATGTATCGACTCAGCAATGGAGTTATTGCAAGTCCAGGCTCTCCTGCACGCGGAAACGCGCAATGGACGTTTACGCAGCCGCCTGAGTCGAGTAAGTTCCCTCAGTTCAGCCGACTTCTTACTCGCAGCCACTATTGTTACTCTCGACCTGTACCACGGTCTGTCATTGCAGGTGAGCGGCCGGCCATCGGGAGACACGTACACGTGGGGCCGAGAGCGGCGCGATGAAATGACCGCCGCGATCCAACACTCAAAAGAAATTTGGGATGAGTCACTTGATGAGAGTATGGAAGCATGGAAGGCATCCAGCATACTTGGTGTGATGCTCAGCAAGTTGCGCATGACAGCCCCAGGCGTGGAAAACAGCGCCGGAGCTGCTTCCTTTGAGCCACAAGATGAGAAGCAGAACGCGGCCATGACCCTCGGCCTGCTGAGCAGCGGAATGAGCCCGATGAACCCGGGCCCGCCTCCATTTGCCGATCCTATGTTCAAGATGGGAGAGTCGCCAATGGGAACAGGAGCAGGTGGCGTGGGCACCTCGGCCGAAATGCCGGGTGCACTTTCGCCCTTTAGCAGCATGTTCGGGCAGATGCCTGACATGCAGGTTAATCTGGATTGGGTAAGCTTTCATTCTTCGTGATCCGGATTTCAATGCTAACATATTGGTATCAGGATGCTTGGGACACATACATCCAAAACCCAACCCTCGACACATCCAATCAATTCTGGCCTATGATTGATGCACAGCGCCAGACAATTCCACAGTCTGGAGGCATGTCACAGCCTTCGGTGCCTAGTCCTCTGACCTCGAGTCGGGGGCCATCAACTGGTAGTGTTCCCCGGGCACCGACAATGTTCTCAGCATCCTCCAACAGCCCCGACAGTGGAGGTGTGCCGGTCACAGGATACGGCATGCCGCCAATGCCCCAACAAAACAATGGTCGGGGCCAAGGTTCCCAATGAACGAGATGTATTCGTATTTTACGTGATTGATTCTCTCCCACTTTTGCCAGAAAATGTTTTGCGCTGACCCTTTTTGATACCTTGGATTGTTTTGTTTGTTCTTGACCTGATGACTTGAAGTAATGGGGCTTGTTTTGCTTCTTCTTTACCGGATGGATAGGTATGCGTGGGAGCAACTATGATCGCCATTTGGGTGGAGGAATTCAGGCGACGCGAGAAAAGATTTTTTTTATAATGGATTCTGTTGGTGTTGGGGTTGGTTAATGTACATGTATCATATCATGAAGCAGGCTACCGTCATATATTTCCACTCTTAAATTATCAAATCTCACGTATGATTTGTGTTTTATTTTCGCCTAGACCCCAAACTTCTGAATGTTCTCTATATAAAATCTCCAGTCCAATGCTTTTTACAACTTTGATTTACTTCGTTATTGTAGGCGCTATATCAGTCACGTGTCGGTACTGATCTGCCCCGGAAAAAGTTATCTGGCTTCGCGCAATTCTTCTCCAGTCAACATATTATTTCTAATACGTGATTAACACATCTTGTGTTAATTTAATTATTAAGATGTGAGTCGTACCAAATGCATTATCCGAGTCTGAGGCCCTATACCTCACGTTTCCTCGATCTCTGCTGCAACATCAGAAGATTGTCGAATGCTAAACAACTCATCTCTAGGCATTGCTTCCGCCGGACCGTTTCTCGGCTTCAATTATCCCCAGCCACTTCGCGTTCATCGATCACCGGCTCTAGCGCAGTGCTGCGTTCAACATGTCCCACTCCTACGCGGTTCGCCTACCCAACTCCCATACAGACAAGGTTAAACTCAACCAACGAAGGCGGCCCACGAATTCCAGTCAGATATGTTGAGTCTGTCAAACCACAGACAACGCCAGAGGATTACCGTCTGCAAAGACAAGAACGCAGACGTCAGTATATGAGCGAAGGCCCTTTACCGAAGACCACCCTGTATGTCGGCAACCTCTTCTTCGACGTAACCGCAGAGGACCTGCGCAACCAGTTTGAGAAATTCGGTGCCGTGGAGAATGCATTGATTGTGCACGATGCCCGCGGGTTGAGCAAAGGGTAGGTTCCCAAGAATGACAATTGACAGCAGCAGCAATGCAGCAGAAAACCCCACCAGTCACTGACCTATTCTCTCTTACAGTTTCGGCTACGTTACCTTCAGCACCGTCGAGGAAGCCACGGAAGCAATCACACAACAGCACGGAGGCATTTTCGAAGGCCGCGAGGTGGTCGTGCAGTTCTCCAACACGACGTACAGATCCATGGCCGACAGCAAGCCCAGCAAGACCCTCTACATTGGCAACGTCCCATACGAATTGACAGACCAGGATCTGCAGGATTTGTTCGATGATATTCCCGGTGTCACCGATGTCCGCATCCCCGTCGATCGTCGCACGGGTTTGCCCCGTGGATTCGGACACATCGACTTTGCCGACCAGAGCAGCGCTTCCCACGCCAAGGAGGTTCTCTCCCGCAAGGCGCCTTACGGCCGCAAGCTGACTGTCACCTTTGCTAGGCGCAAGGTCTTGACCCCTGAGGACCACCAGCGTCACCAGCAGAGGAAGCTTGAGAAGAAGGGCTCCTACAACAAACGTCAAGGTACTCAGGATGATGTCGAGCCTGAGCAGGCCGTCGATCACACCGAGACTGAGCAGAAGCAGTAGAGAGGGTTATGCGTGAATTATAAAAAATGTACAATAGTCTCCCAATTTGGCAATTGGAAAAATTTCAACAATGTATATTAAACAGAAATGATTATGTCTACACCTATTCCTACCACTGTTTGTCTCACATATAGTTTAATCCTTTTCAATTTATACAGGGAAGATATTTGTACCTTTCCCCTGGCTCAAGCTTTAGCAACTTCTAATCAATGTCCTATACACATGTAACTTTCAATGCCGTTGAAGCTCCCAAAATACAGTCCGATTCCCATATTTTCTAAACCAACCTCCGGTCCCACTTGTGGACACTATAAGGTCAACCCAAGGCCTGCATTTCTGGAGGACGAGCATAATACATATCCCAGTCGTGCATATCGCATATTGCTGTGGCTCCAATCCCCTGCACCTCATCGTAAGGCACTTTCATCCAACCAATATCTTCCTGCGTACATCCCTCTAGGGGCTCAAGCCCCTCATCTAAATCGACTGAGTCATTGCCATCTTCATTTACCTCCGGTTCCCATTCTCCATAAACCAGACGAACAAACCCGGTTTGCGTCATAGCATCCGGGTCCGAGTTCAAGATAGACTCTAGCGCCTCCTGGTCGACCATGACAAAAAATCTATAGCGAGACTAAGCTAGAGTAAACAATATTAGATAGGGAGAGAAGTGATATTGGAGCTAACTAGTTTACTTCCCTCTTCACTCGAGGTACATGCTATTACGTTGTTTCTCGGTTTTATATTAACCACTAAACGTCAGTATTAGACCTCTGCATAGCCCATCAACGGGCCCAGACCCCCGGCCCAAAGCCCAACCCATTAGTGGGTTGGGTTGGGTTGGGCTATGGGCTTTATGGGCTATGCAGAGGTCTAGCCAGTATCTTAGAATAAAGATTTTCCTATGAAGCCTCCTTAGTATACCTTACTAGTTGATGATCTATTTTCTACTATTTGCGCTTTTCTCTTGCTTAATCAAGATTACGGCCACGTTAGTTAGTACTTACGCCGATCACCCATTACGAGTCATCGTACTCTTTCTTCTCTTTTTAGATTACCTAGGGTTAGCTTCTCTATTATAGTGGCTAGATAGGCATACAACAGCCCATTCCCGGACTCGATCACAACTGCGTTGCGCTTTGTATTGCATAATTGGAGTGGCAGCTGTTCTTCTTCTACTTACGGTCTTGGGGGTTGCTTTGTCCTGTTGACTGCTATCGCTGGAGGTGAATCCTCTCCCCCTCTGTGGAAGATATCATCCTTTGCCGCCCTTTCTGATTTTTACAGCTCCAACTATTCATTCTCATGGTCTGGATGATCTTCTCGTATTAAGCTGTACGAAGTGCTGGAAGCCCAGTCGGTGAGCACTTGACATGTTCAACCATCATGGTAGACAACGAATTCTGGGGACACAGTGTCAAGGGGTTTATTACATTCGCCCCATCTGAGGTTACATTTGCACAGCCCCTAATGTCGCCGAGCGACTGTCCGTTGCCTTATCGCGAATCCCGTGGCATATGCGATGTCCTCATCCTGGAATGACTCCCCAGAGCCGACATCAATGTAGGCCATAGGTAGGTTAGAGAGATGGGTGGCACGAGCAGGCACCACATATGGGCTCACATCAGCGGTACCGGCCTTGGTCTCCAAGTACGCGAGACCATGCGTAACGATCCCAGACTATGTAGAATCCAAATCGATTTTCGAACTTCGGACATAATGTAGTGTTACATCTATCATCGAGCATGGGACACATGAGCAGTTGTGCACAGAGCTTGAGGCTGCTGCGGTCTCTTGAAAAAAGGACTGCACCTGCACCGGCTGATACACCTGAAATCAAGAAGCGATCAGCATCAATGTTGAATTGGTCAAAGTTTCGAGATATCCAAAGGCGCGAGTTTTAGCAGTCTTCAACTGCGCACATTCCGATCTAGTCGGGCGATAGTCGGTAGCTGGTGCTGATTACCACAGTGTTCAATTATTTGACGGCCTCAGCCAGACTCTTGAGACCAACGTAGACGTTGTCCATCACGCGCCCGCCTCCGCGACAGAACAGAATACCTGGTCGAGGGCTCTTTGGGCCGGAGGCATGGCGGCTCGACAGAGATATGGCGTTTATGACTCTATTCCATCCGGGATGGGGATTTAAGATCCTCGATAGTCAGATCGGGGTCGTTCGCTATGGTTTCATCTGTAGGTGGCTCTTCAGAGCGCAGAGCAAGAAGCTCTTCGAAGCTTGCAGGTAATGGCCGGCGTTGCGTATCCTCAAAAGCCGTAATCTCAGATTCATAGGGTGGTAAAGGGAAAGTGGCCTTGGGCGGGGAAGCAGCTCCCATTTTTGATAGGCGCAGCGGTAGTAATGGAAAAAAACAAGCAATCGAAAGAGACCTTTGGTTTGGATGCGTTATGTTAGGAACAACTAAAAGTGCGCTACATATATCGGTCCCAGGCATGATGGAACATGGCATTATGTCATATTTGGTTTTTTTGGCCTACGCGTTTAGTACGCCTAGGTGCTGGTCGTAACGAAGCCAGATGCCTAGAATGGGGTAAAGTACCAAGTAGATACGTACTTGTGGCATTTTAACAACTGTGCAGCTACTGTTAGAGCCTACTGGAGAGGAAGAAACCAGAGACTCGATCGATTGGAAGAGGGAGAGAGGGGGAGAGAGGGGGGAGAGAAAGAGATCTGTCTACCTAGGGGCGCAGACCACACCTCGCAACAGTTACAAATGTGTTCGCTTTGTTGAAGAAAGTTATTAAGACCTATAAATGCACCTATACGTACCGGATATTCCCTGGAGGGTGCTCAGGCTCAGGCTCACTGCGTAGATGTCATTTACATCTACACAACCGAGCTATTTAGGGCGCATGCCACCTGCCTAGTCCCGACAGTTTTTGTTGAGATTCTAGTAGGTAGTTTTGGAGATATGTGGTGAACTAAAGAAAGGAGACCTTTAATATGCTGTAAATTTGATAAGTGGACATATCTATAGCCCTGAAGAATCAAAGAGGGAAAAATGGGTTGTATAGAGCACTTGAGGGTAAGATCAGTTCAAAGTTATAAAAGCTTGTTATATATTTCGGAGTAACAATGATAACTAGTGAATTAATGCATCTCTTTGTAAATTTGATTGGTAGGAGCTATACGAAATGGTATAAATTACGCGCGTGGCTTGTGTAAAATCGGCAAAATTCAATGTGATCCTCTTCCGACTTGGTCTACTCCGTACCGCAGCCAACATTGCCCTGGACCCAACTTGATTTCCAAGATTTCTTCATTTCCTTTTCACTAAATGATTCTAAGACTTTTTCGGAAGCAATCACTCAGGCGGCCCAGCCTTTCAACTAGTCCTGTCCATTTTCCTACCGGAACTAGCCCTTCACAGCTTACCATATCATTCTCAAAAACAATGAGTTCCTCACGCATCCCCGATTATGAAATTGAAGAACCATCAAAACGGGATCCCACCATAGAAACATGCTTAAACGCCGCAGACATCCTAGAACGGCTTCTCCAAAAAGACGGATTCACAGAGTGGGGCTTCGTTATCTATCGCTGTACATATCAAAGCCAAAAAGACTGGGAAAGATTCATGGCTCACTTCCTCTAGTCTATTATAGGATACCTCGAGTCCAGTAAGGGTCTAGATATGCTAGAAGGGTTTACCCCAACGGTCTTTGAAGACCGCTTATTTGATAGTACGACCACCGCTATTCTCCGCACCTATTTTAGGAAGTGGGCTACGACTGCACCGCTATAGGAACAGGGTATCGATACTTTCGGAAAGTCGTATATATACTGCCAGTAGAACAATCTTCGGCGTAGACACGGTAAGGTCGAGGCTCTAGTATAATAAGTTTTTCTAAATTGCTCGACGAGAGAATACGAGAAGGACAATACTAGCGAGTAATAACGTCGTAGCTAGTAGTGCATATACTATAGTCGGAATCTGTATAACTGTCTTATAGTTAACGTATAAGAAAAAAGGGGACTTTCGCTGAATTTATGCCCGGATTGCTAGCTACAATGCTTACTAGATTAGCTCTGTACTATAGGTTCCAACGTTATAAAGCCAGCTACCTTGCATTGCTAAAAAAGAATAGCTTAAGTTTAATAAGTCTGTTCTGTGCTCTCTATTCGTCGCTAGAAATCCTCAGACGATATTGTCTCTCCTAGGAACTACCGAGTATGCGGGAGTCTAATACAAGCCCCTAGGAACCGAATAAAGGTTCCTAGGAACGCCACGGGTAATTCTAGGAGCTCCCAAGCCCCCGGAAACTTAGAATTGGGTCATAGGAGTGAAGGGCTAGTAAATGACTGTTTGGAATCTATAAGACAGTGCTCCGTGTTCGAGTTCGGCAATGAACTATCTATGACGAGGCAATCTATAAAGCCACAACTACACCCCATTTACTGAACCATTATTAATTTACACTGCCATAAACGTCGTGGAAAGCATATCTCTTATCGAATTAGCGGCTACCTTTGTTCCTTTCCGAAATAGAACTGACCACCAACACAATCATGGTATGATAGTCGTTAGTTCCAAGAAGCTATACGCGTTTGGGGACATCGAAGCCCAGGTAGAAATTCTCGCAATCGGTCTTACCATAATAACTCTTCTCTGGTCCTATCGCCAAGGCCTAGCGCATATCCATAATCGAGCGGGTCATGTTAAATTGGGGAACACCGTAATGTGCACCACGTATGGTACTGGATCTTGTATATCTTTCAGGCCGATATTTGCTTTGTTGATACCCGTAGAATCACCTGTGGTACTTGCCAATCGGTTACAGTCAGCGGCTCAACCAGTCCCATGTCCATATTTGTTTGAAGTCAACGCCAAGGGAAACAAGGCCCCTCCCTTGAGTGTAGTTCTGGTGGAGGCGGCGTTAAACGAAGGGGACCTCCCACTGAATCCGTCGGCCCTTAGTGTGTATTAAATAGCTGCACAGTTAGCGAGATACGGTCGACAAGTATGTCCGTATAGCAATTTCTAATTGGTACTTGCAAGCACTCTATTCTCAACTGGATAGATGTGTAATGGTGGAAAATGTGCGAGTCAGTCTGACTATTGGAAGCAGCAAGCGATTGGCGGTGCCATAAGTACGTGACACTGCTGTCAAAAAGCTCACAGAGATAATTACGCTATCAATTCACTCTGCGAGATGAGGACTACAGAAGTTGCGAACATCAACTGGGTGAGAGTTGATGCGAGCTGGTCCCGTGTATCTCTGCGTCCTGTCTGTTAGTGTGATGTACCAACCCAGCTTGGTCATAGTTGTTGGGTTATCCTATTCAGATCAGTGTGCTTCCACAGTATAACCCATTCGAGGGCTACACATGAGCTTGAATAGTCATCATTTCTTAGAAGACGTTACGTGTTCTGTTGTTTATATTTTGCGATTCAAAATCAAAGGTGGTGTCAATCTCCTGTGTCATTATTCACCTACTATTTACAATGCCCACCTTCCACGCCAATTTGCGTCGCCTTGTTATCAGGGCTGCCGCTTATGAGGCCCATGTGACTTCTAAACACTTCGTTTCAAGGGCAAAATCAATCGAGCCATGTCGGTGCGTTTCCGAAATTCTCCCCTCCAAATCCATAAACATAAATCATGCTAAGCCAATACATGAGGCTAAAAGTGGATTGCCTTCAATACAAACATAGTATTACTGAGAAAAGTGTCATAATGAGCTCCAACCAGACTTACGTAATGTCTTCAGGTTATTCCATAAGCATGGTGCACCCAGGGACAGTAGTAAGCTAGAGTATATAATATGATACCGAGTTGAAAGGCAGAAAACAACAAAACACGATTCAAGTTTTGATCGTGTGCTTTGATACTTGGCTAGCCACGAGGCGAGTGAGGATACAGCTCCGTTGGCTTAGGAGTATATGTACCTAACTCGCTCACCTCAAAACTGCGGTCGTTGGCTACCACTGACTGGACTAGTTGGACTGGATGAAGAGATGTTCGCTTTCTTTTTCTTCTTTCCTAAAGGGCCCACGCAGTAGTAAATAAGGCAATGACACCAAGTGGGACTCCAACCCCTACACCGATTGCCACGCCCCTGGAGTCATTGCTCGTAGTGGATGATCCAGTTCTAGTGGCAGTACCGGTTTCGTTGGCCACGATAGAAGACGTAGTATTGGATTCCCTCGCAAAACTTGACAGACCTGCAACTCCAGGGATAATGTAACCGTCGGCGACTGAAAAGCTTGATTGAGGCGATCCGTTAATGCTACTGCAGAACTTTTCGCTGGAGGTTCGATTGACATGTACGGGGTTGCAACAATATGTGGATTCAGAATTGGTTCCATTCAACCAAACAACGGCCGCGCCAGCGCCTGGTTGAGCACTCTCTGTTGGTAGAAAATTAGAATATACTAGAAGATTGTAAACTTGAAACTTACGGCATGTGTTCAAAGGGCAACTGCCAATCCTCCATTGGGATAGTAGCATTGACCGGTGGCACTGATTGTAGTGATAAGACTCAGAAAACTGAGCTGCAGGGCTAGGCTTTGGAGCAGAATACCTAGTCAACGTTGCTATAATAATTAATAGACACCTTTGTCTCTTCGTGACCACATGTTGCAACCGAATCGCAAATCGGTGTAAGGGGAGAAGACTTGAACGGGAAAGGACATAAGGGGAGTGAGGCGACGCTTATACCTTTTCTGAATCTTTAGGCTATTTTTACCAGGAAATCCACTCTCACCTAACTTGCATAGCTCCGCGCAACCTGATTTAGAACATATGCAAATTGCAGTTTCGGCTTCGGTTCCTTATAATATGTAGTTTAGTTCCATATTTGAGATTTTAGTGATCAGCATACATCAATTATTGTGATGTGATTTGGGCAGAAATGGTTGGGATGAGGGTACTGAACAAGACATGGTATGGTATGTCTTAGTTGCGAACACTTAGCAAACGGGTTCACCCGTCCAGGGGGGGGGCGGGGGCGACCAAACACCATTGGCGGCCCCGGCCCCTTGCGAGCGGCGCTTTATTGATTGCACAGTGGATTTTCGTTTCAGCGTCTACGACGTGCTTATATTTATAGCACGTATGGAGTGGAACGTGACATCGGTTTTGAGTGAATCAAACCGAGGTGATCCTCTAGAGTAAATTTCCGCCATCTACGTAATATTAAAAGCCAACATAGCTATTGGCGACTGTACCATGAATATACCTAGGCATTCTCTGAGAGCGTGGAAAGGATGAGATCCTCCAATAGGCACAATTTGGGCGCCTTTAGCTGGGAGGCTTCAGCGGTAAGACGCCAACATCCACCATGTCCAATCAAGTCCCAGCTCTGCTCGACATCTGGATCACAATTGGACTATGCATGACTCACATAAGATGAGCCCATGTGCTCTAGCGGGCGCCAAATTGCTATCACGCTCGCTACTACGGTGACAGAAAGCTGGTGTACGAACAATGTATGGTATAGATGACCAATGTTGATGACTCTAACTAACTAAAATGACAAAACCCGCTATTTCAACAATCTGTGCGGACCATGATAACTAACTATAATATGCACTTTTGTATGGTATGCCTGGTACCTAATGTCATATGATGTCTCCGGTATATTACCTGGTTTCTACCATATATTCGGACTTGGTATTCGATATACCCCCTAGTTCTTAAAGCCTATATTTTCCTAGCTTTAAGAGCTATCAATTCCTTCAATTTCAAGCCTTCTAGGCGCCGATAGTAGGTACCCTAAGACCCCGATCTATATAGCCTAAGGCTAATAGAGTTAGACGCTACTTAAAATAAGTAAAATAAGTATTATTAGAAGAATCTTTACTTTATCTATAGGAAACTAGGATACTATATAAAGGAATATAAATAGAAGAAACTATATGAAAAACGGTAATATATATAGGCGATACGCAAAGTACTATAAGCGTGTTATGACATAATCAGACGTAAGGCCATTCCCAGATTGGTGCCTTAGGCCTATAGGAGGTTTGACCTCTCCGGAGGGGGATCGCCCGTGTTTCCCTATCCTTCCGAGAAGGGTTCCCCGCGGGAACGAGACCCCGCTCCACATGTCACATTTTCCTCCCACTATCCACATAGGGAGACTGTATATAAATTGGACCATATAGAGGAAGCCTAACGGCTCCTCAAGAAACAGTCTTTGACTTTTGGAACCACCTATCTTGTTACCTTCTCCTACCTGATTGATAGGCACCTACCCTGACTTGTAGAGTATCTTTTAACATAAACGCTCCCGAATTACTAGGTAGCTAGATCTCGAAAAAGCCCTAATCTATTAGGTTAAACTCGCCGAAAGCTATATTCCTATAACCTAATATTACGGACCTATCCGTCACCAATCAGAGGTGACCTACTATGCATACCAATAGGCTATCAAGAGCCAACCAGCAAATCTATCATTAGATTACGTATAGTATCCTATATGTTACGCACTAGCTAACTGGTCACAGTTAGGTTAGATGGGTTCAGGGTATACTTGCCTTAATACTCCTCGAGTGGTCCAACGTCAATGATCGGGTCTCAACTGAGCTATTGCCGCGCAGGGCCTTACTATAGCCTAAGTCCTTTTAAGCGATCAAGGAACTGATGCCAGGTAGAGCGCCGAGTAGATCTATACCGGAGTATTGGTCTGCTCGTGAGTGTTGTCAAGTTATAATCAAGTAAAGAGTCATAGTAATCCAAAAGGTAAACATAAGTAATAATATATGATTGAAGACGAAGAACTAAACTAGATATATAAATAAGTGTCCTTATATATCCTTAAGTTCTTCCTATATAGAATGGTAGATAGTAGAATAGTAGAATCGCCTTGGCGGATTCTACCGATCTACTTACTACCCTTCTACTACCGGTATGATCACGTGATGCCGACCAACCGTCTTCTACGTATAGCGGTTGTCTAGTACGTAGAGTAACCTATATAACGGAAATCCTCTGTAGGGTGGATCCGCTTAGGGCGTATCGTGCTCTTGCTTAGTGAGCTTACACGTGATCTGCTGACAGGTCTGCTGGTTGGCTCTTGATGGCCCATTGGTGTGCCTGGTGGGTCACCACTGATTGGTGACGGATAGGTCCGTAACACTATACTCTAGAAGCCCTAGGTATTTAGGAAAAGAGAAACCGTGATCATACTTAGTAAGTAAGAGTATAATCCGCCCTAAGCCCGACTAAAGTTTAGTATATATATACCTCGATATATTAGTAAATATAATATACCTATTTAGGCAAGTAAACTATTATATAACCGTAACTATCTACTAACGCTAAGGAGGAGTAGATAACGTATTCGGTAAGCGAGTGGCCACTGTAAGCGAGTGGCCACCCCAACCAAAAACGCGTCCATAAATTAGCACTTAGTTAATTCAACCACCCACTATACCACCAATACGCTCTCAATCCTCTAAAAATTCAATAGAGCAAGAGGGTAGGATCTTATTAGCTATCCAGGCTTTTAAAAATAGAGATATTAGCTCTATTTCTCTTACTACGCGTATATTCAATATCCCGCGTATAACTCTCCGCCGCCGAATTGATAGAGTATAACACCGCGTGATTTCACGCGCTAATTGCTCGAAATTGACTAAAATTGAAGAGGAGTCTCTTTAAAAATAGATTCTCTCTATAGATCTACGTAGAGCGGCCCCTCGGCCCTCTATAGTACGAGAAATAGTAGATCTTCTTCTTTAAAAGCGTAGAACTACCCTAGTTCTTTCGGTCGGCGAAAAATAGGTATTTAACTATATAAAACGGTATCCTCTCCTTTCCTCCCGATTCTCGAAACGATATAACTATAAGCGCGCGAAATATAAAGACCCTAAAATTATTTAAGGGTAGTTTAATCTTATTTAAAAAACTATCCTTTAATTTAGGATCGACCCCGACGATATCTATAACTTCGATAAGACCGGCTTTATAATAGGATTAACTATAACTACGAAGGTTATTATAAGGAGTAAATACTATAGTCGGAGGCCGGTTTTATAACCTAGAAATCGAGAGTAGGTAACTATTATTAAGTATACGAATATTTCTAGCTAGGCCCTTCCTCTATATATAGTTTTTAAAGGTAAAGTCTTTATTAAATTATAGTTCGACGGCCTCCTAGAGGATTAGCGCTTTAAAGTTAGTCCTAATAGCTAGACCTCCGATAAAATTAGCCTTTATTAGCTCGAAAAACTCTTTATTCCGACTACTTCTTTACGTACGAAGGGGAGGTATCGACTTTTAATACTCGATAGCTATAGAAGTTATTTAATACCTTAATTTAACGAAATTTACGAGTAAAATAAAGTGATACTAATCTATATACTAGTATATTTATCTTATCTATTATAACCTCTAGATATTAGTTATTTTACAGTATTAAAACGTATATACAGTCGGATAGTTAAAACTAAGATATAGAACGGGATTAATTATATTAATAAACTTAACTTCCTCGAAGTATACCCCCTTATACGAATTGAAGCCTTTAAATCGGAGACGATTAAAAATAGCTTCGTAGTAGCCGGTTTAGTACTATTTAGACCCGACCGAGTGATCTTAAAGCTCGATATCTAGCTCCGAACGCCTACCCCCCTTCTAAGTAGGGGGAGTAAATTAAGCCGGAATTTTACCCTAAAAACCCCCTTTATAGAGAAAGAACTACGTCGATAGGCTTTATCAATCAAAGCTCTACTTCGTATAAGATCTCGGAGCCCGCCTAGCCCGTTAGATCGTATATTAAACTAGTTTATAAAGGGCTTCCGTCTTATAATATAAGGTACTATCTTACTCGCTAACGAAAATAAGGAATTACGCGCCGCTAACGAGAAGTAGAAGCAAAAGCGTACTAGATCCCGAAGGCATATACCTATAGAAGAAGGCCTCTTAATTTAAGAAGCCTCTATATTAATTATATAGCAATAGGAAGCAACTAAAGCACCTCCCCCCGGCCCCGGTATACCTAGAGAATCGGCTATTTAGCCACGTACGCGGCCCCCCCGGGGTATAGAATATATAGGAAGCTAGGATATAGAAGAGAGATATATCCAGATAGATGATGATTTTAGTTTATTCAATTTAATAGAGTTTTGGTTGACGTATATACATTTAAATTAGTAGGTTTTAGTTGGGGTGGCCACTCGCTTACAGTGGCCACTCGCTTACCGAATACGTTAGTCACTATAACTCTAGTAGATATACCCTAGTGTTACGCACTAGCTAACTAGTCATAGTTAGGTTAGATAGGTTCAGGGTATACTTGCCTTAATACTCCTCGAATAGTCCAACGTTAATAATCGGGTCTTAACTAAGCTAATGCCGCGTAGGGCCTTATAGTAGCCTAAGTCCTTTTAAGCGATTAAGGAACTAATGCTAGGTAGAGCGCCGAGTAGATCTATACTAGGGTATTAGTCTACTCGTAAGTATTATCAAGTTATAATTAAGTAAAGAGTT